ATATATATATAAAAATTAAAATATTAAAAAATCTTTTTTTCTTTCCAATAATCTTCTTGTAAGCAAACTAAAGCATTTTTTTAGTGCACTATGATGAGATTTATTACTAATATTTATGTCTTGATTTATAAAAGTAAAGAAATTTAGCCTTTTAATTTAAAAAACAATATTCATCTTTATATAGAATTATTGAACTACTTTTGAAGTATAAGAGAGATTAAAGAATCTCCTAAGAATACAAAAAATAGCCAATTAAACCATTATATTTTTAATTGAAGAGAAAAAACTAAAGAATTATTTGAACTTAATATCTATACATGTAAAAATTTTAGATTTAGTTTTTAAATACTTCGTAATATCATATTAATCTAAAAATAAAATTTTAAATTTAATTATCATCATAAATCATATTAATTTATTTAATTTATTAAAATATTCTTTCATCTTAAATATATTAATTAATTCATAATTTTTATTTTTGTTTTTTAATTTTTTTTTAAATTTTTAGCATAAACACAAGTCAATAGAAGCTTGTAAAATTATAATTTACTTATTTATAATTTAAGATAAAATAAAATAAAATATAAAAGATTTAAAATTACCATTATTAAGTACAAAGAAATTCAAAGATTTTAATTAGTATAAGTAATCAAGTTACAAAATGCTTCTATATTAACTTCCAAGGTCTAAGAAACTCTTAGGAGTATTTATATAATTATATGACAAGTCTACGGATAGTTTAGATCTAATTCATGTCTTGAAAGGTTCTACTTTAAAGAGGATATTACTGACCTAGATTTTTTTTTTTGCATAGCATGAAGTTTTTTGGACATGTAAAAATAAATTTATTATCAGAAAAATAAAAGATATAATATATCTAGTAAGTTGTATCTTCTTCTTTTCTTTTAATTTTTACCAAACATAATCTATTATATGAAATAAAAGAAATTAATACAATACAATTTAATCACTTTATTTTTTTTACATATAAAGAGCTAAATTATGATTATAATTTATTTTAATCAATGGCATAGTTTTATTATATCAACCTATCAAGCACCAAATTTATACTGTTTTCAATTAGTAAATTAAATAAGAATTTATTAGAAACAAATTTTCTCAAAATATTTTAAACTCTGATTTTTTAATCTAAATTTTAAGTCAATTTATATTAAATAGGACATGCAAACTAATTAATAGTATCATTTAAAATAAATTACATATTTTTTTATTTATTATCAAATAAGTATTTAATATTAATCTATCTTGAAAATCAGAAGATTATTAGGACTTGTTAGTTTGATTACTAGTGATAGCATTTATAATATTTATAGATTTCTATTTTTTGTAATTATCATCTACATGAAGTATTAAAAAGTAAAAAAATTACTAAATCATAACTTGGATACAAATACTATTTATAAGAAAAATATTACAGTATTAAAATTTTTAAAACTACCTTATATTTTTAATAATCTAAATATAATATAGGCATTAATTATATAATTTTTCTGACATAATTAAAAAAAATTAAATTTTAAACTATAATGTTTGATACAAAATTAAAATTAAAGTATTTAAATTGAAAACTTGAAGGAAAATATAATAGTATCTTATATTTTTAATTAAAAGATAAAAAATAAACATATACATATAACAAAAATTAAGTCTAAATTACACTTAATAATATAGTCTAAATAATTGAAATAAACATATGATTTAATTTTGGAGCAAATTTAAATGTCTTAATCTATTATGACATATTTGAAAGCTTAATATTTGTTTTAAAATCAAAAAGTAATTAATATTTTAAGTAAAAAAAAAATTTATTACCAAATTAATATATATGTTCTATCAAAAAAATTATTAAATGATAATAAATAAGTAATTAAATTTAAAAGAAAATTATAAGTTAAACATATTTTTTTTGGTTATATGTATGTATATCTATACTATATATATATATATATATATATATATATATATATATATATATATATATATAATATTTTTTATAATTTAATATAGCCTATACTAAAACACATTCAAATAAATTATTTTTAACATTTAATTTTATATATAATTATATATATTCTCCATATTTTTTATATTTAAATGTTGTTCAATCTTAAATTTTATGCTTTAAAAGACTTTCTTTTAGAATACTTGATTTTTTTTACCAGAAAACCTGGTTGAAACTTGTAGAATAATGTAAACTGTATATATTAATTATCAAGCTAAAAATTAACTACTAATAATTTATAGTTTAATCCAAATACATGATATCATGGATTTATAATTTTTCAAATTTATTTTAGAATATAATGTTAATATAATTATTAGTAATAATTCGTGCATTTTAACATTTTTAATTAAAGGAAAATATATCTTTAATGCTGTTGATAATAGTCTTGATGATATTTTATAAAAGATCTATTTATTGTTACTAATATTCTAAATATGTGTTTTCTGAGTTTTTGAATGATTTTTGTTATAAGTACTTCTTATTTGTAGATTCTGATCAAATTTGTAGGAAAAGACTTTAAATATTTATAATATAATTTTAAGAAAAATCAAGGCTTAATTTTAATAATTGGATATCATTCAAAAAGGCTTTAACAAATATCAAAATTAAGTAGAGAGTTTTAAAAAATATAAAATAAATGTCCTCTTTACAAATTATTTATTTTAAAATACATAAAAATTCAACTTGTATAGATGATAGAATTCATACTTAACATATATATTTTTAATAGGTTAATATTTAGTTATGTAAGACATTTTAAAATATAAATAGGAATATTTTATTTTAATCAAGTATTAAATATTCTTTGTATATATGAAATAGTCATCTTTAACATGGTATTTGAATATAAAAAGTGCATATCATATCTGTACAAAGTGTTATTTTACAAAATTAAAAAATATATTTTTTATTTTTTCAACTATATTTGATCTTATTATAAAGTTTGTGATGTTAAAATTGTATTGACTACATATATCAAATTCATACAAATACAAATAAAACGTGATTTAAAAAAATAAAGATGAATAAAAATAAGAATAAAAATATCTTATACAATAATATTTTAAACAAGTTGAAGATAATAACCCAAACAATGTGTAAATTTTCTTATCCAACAACTGTAATGAAAAAAATTACTCTTTTTTATTTTTATTTTTTATCATAAAACTATTTTATTTTGCAATCATTTTTTCACATGAATCATTCTTATTTTATCAATTTATAAGATTTTAAAAATATTTTTTAAAAATCACTAAATGACAAATTTTAATATTCATATATTTGGCATATGTACCAAAATCTGGACACAAAATATTTGTTCAAATCTTTAAAGTGAGGTTGCAAACCTCAATAAATTAGTATATATATATATATATATATATATATATATATATATTTAAGCCCAAAAACCAAATTATATCTCCACAACTAACATTTACTGTTACAAAATTGACACAACTCAAAATTCAATTCTACAAAACTATCTCTAGATTCAACCTTGTAGATAAATATCATCCCTTGGATGATCAACTATGGCATTGAATTTGGGCAAATGATTCTATCTGCCACTTGTTGCATGCCTTTTGTCCTTAAGCTTAGAGATAGCACATGGGGCAGTGAGTAAATAAAACATAAGCCTTCTTTGAATATTTATTTCTGAATGTTAAGAGTGAAGAATGCGTTGAAAAGTTTGGTGTGTGTAGCAAAGAGTAGTCTTTGTGCACATCAAGCGCCAAGTATGAATCCAAACACTAAACAATTTGATCAGATTTATCTCTTAAATGCTACATTAAGGTAACTCTTGTCATTCTCATCCTTGGATTACCATGATAAAATAGGCACACCAGAATCAACATCAAACACACTCATTTCCACATCTTAGGTGGAAAAAAAACACACGAGAAACATGTGGAAATAGAAACTCAACAACAGTGTGACACTGAGTGTGCCAAAGTGGAGCTTCCTCACCACCACCACCAGCATGAGAAGGACCCCACAAGTGCCAGCATAGTCACACATGTTATAGTTTTAATGAGACAGTGAAAGATGGGTCTTCGTCACGGGACAACCCTAATGCTTGCAAAAAATGGACTGATTTGATGGGGACCCCTTCTTTGTGGGGTGTTTTGGGGGCATTTGAATTCTCATGACTGTCACAAAACCCTAAACACCCCCATCTCCATAGCCATAGCTCCCATCCTCCTCACATTGGAGGTGTGTGTGTGTGTATGTGTGATAAGCTTGGCTACAAAAACCACTACAACTTGCATATGTTTGCTGCTTTTTGCAAGCTTTTGGAGGAAATGGTGAGGCAGATACTGAGGTGGGGGGGATGATTCCTTGCATGAGCCAGAATCCTCATGTTACAGTTGAGGAATAAAACAAAAGCAACTAAAAAGATAAAACGAAGAAACGGCTGCGTTTTTATGGGCTGCAAGGGAATCAGAGACATCATCTCTTACGTATATTAATGACGCACAATGAAGCTGTTTTCGAAGGCTTAAATATGAGGGTGAAATCCAATTTGGCAGGGAGGGTGGTCTGCAAAGATGCCGACCTACAGGAGGGTCCCGCACTCCGACTCGTGCTTTACTTCTGCAAGCTCTGGTCACCAAGACTTCGCAGGAACATCATGCAAGTCAGAATCCTGGATTGGGGCTGATAAGGATGATTAAAAAGAGGGTAGGAGGAAAGGGGGAATGAGTAGGAGCAAAAAACGAAAGTAAAGAGAGCAAATAAAACTAATAAAGAAAAACGAGAAAAATGCCATTTTCTGTAGCAGTCTGTGAACATGAGTGACTGCGGCAACTGCCACCAATCTCGCACACTCTTTGAGCTGGAGATGTAGCTGAGGCTGCAGCAAATGGTTAAAGTCATTTCAGTTTTTTTTTTTTTTTCTCAAATAATTTTTGATTATTTTTGTGTCCATCACCATCTACTGATCAACATTTACTCTTGTACTTGTTTTCCAGGGGTAAGGGAGAGAGTGTGAGAGAGTGTTCGAGTGTCAGTGTGTGTGGGTTGTTTTCTTGGCCGTGGTCTCTTTCTGTTGCCTCACCGTGACATGATTCGCTTGGCACGCCAGAACGACAAAGCGGCTGGTGCAAGGTGCCTGGGTGATGAGTCCCAAGGGCTAGAGGTCAGTTGTGTGAGGTTCAATGTCTACTGCTGGTCTGTCTGTCTGCACTGTGCTGTGCCAGAAGGTGCAGCTGCTGTAGCAGCAACAGCATCAGCAGAAGAAACAGCACCAGCTCAGGCACACTGTGGGAAAGGAAGGAAGGAGGCGTAGGTGGGGGGGAGAGCTAGGCCAGGATGATAGCAGAGCACCCTGGCGGCACATGTCCTCTCTCACCCACTATCATGTGAAGCGGCGGAGGAGGATGCAGATGCCATTGATACCTGGGTTGCAACAGATAGTGCAATTCCTTTCACACACGCCAGTACTTTCCTCAGTGTTGCTCTTTACCCTTTTACAGTCTTTTGGGAGTAACGAGGCTCAGAAGAGAGTTCTCCCTTTTTCTGTTTTTTGTGAAGGATAACTTGGCGTTCCTCTTTCCATCCTCTCCCACTTCCTTAAGGGTACTTGCTCAAGCCTGGTCCCTCGGAGGCTCAGTGTTTGCAGCAGCATTTTTTCAAACCAAGCGTAGGATCGTTTTTTCCCCCTAACTTGCAGGCGAGGAATGTAGCATTCTTTTCTTTTCTTTTCTGTAGCATTCGCATACACATTGTGCAAGAAGACCGTATGGTGATTCTTGCGTTGTAGCTAGTTCTCTCCCCCGAGGATACAATGAGCTGGTCATCGTCGTGTATCATCTTTTTGGGTTGTTCGTGGTCTTCGAGGCTTGTGTGGAGGTTGGCCTTGTTCGCTAACCGTTGGCGATGTTGAATGCTGGTTCTGAAGCATTCACATGGGGCTCACATTGCGGTATGTACTGTGCTCTCTGCATTTTCTTTATAAAAATAAAAATAATATGCTTCTGGGTCCTCGTTTCTGGCACCTCTATGTGGTTCTTCAGAGTCGTGGTTGCGAATGCACTGTTGAATTTCTTTGTGTTCTGAGTAAACCAAGTTTACTGGCTGTTAGTTTGTGATGCTTGATTGTTAACCGAGTTGATGAGTTGAGCGACATGGCGTTGAAGTTTCGTAGGACACTGAGGTTGATCAGCTTTGAGTCGAATGGAGCCTTGGTATTGCGCTTCTGGATTTCAGTGCGTGGGACATTGTGTGTAATATATCAGATTTGAAGTTTGTTGTGCATTTAGATCGAGTCCACATTCCAGAAGATTATAGCTGCCGTAGAATAGCTGGTAGGCAATATGGCGTCGAAACGTTTTCCTCTGAAGAATAATCTGGACCGTGTGAGGTGGGTAATCAGCGGGAAATAGAGACACTCGAGCTAGGTCAATAAAACGAAAATAACACTCCGGTTCTATCGTTTTCCCTAGTGATAAATCTCGAATTCTGTTTGTAGTGTTTCTAGACGCAAAGCTTTGGACAAAATTGGATGAACTGTACTGATTGCAGATTAACTAGACTTTTTTGCTCTTAATGCATGGGTTGATGAAGTTTAACATCTCTTGAACCTGATGTTGTGGAATTCTAATGGCAGCCTGAGAAATGGAAATGCACTTGAGAATACGGAGGAATTATCCTAAGCCCTGCAGTCGCGATGGAAACCAAGCTGTGTGACGGTTTTTTAAGCGCTTGTTCGAAAAGCGAATTTTGCAGCACAAGCAGATGACTGTGGGGACCAATGACCAATGAAATGATATGAAGTCCGGGAAGATCAATCTTTTGGCCATGAAGGGTCGAGGGATGTTCTGTAACCACCTCTGCGCATGGCAACCTGTTCGTGTAATGCATGGTGATGGCCAAGTCCGAAGCTTTACTCGGACTGTAACGGTAGGAGAGTTGCTGAAATGCCACCCTCATCACTTCGTGTGCGAGCCCACCTCAGACGGGCCTATTTACCACAGTGGCATGCTACCCTTCGACATGGAGCTTGAGGAAGGTAGAGTGTACCTGCTCCTCCCCCTTCCCCGCCTGCTGCCTCACCTTGGCGGCACCTTCTCTAACCCCCCTTCCTGCCCCTGCTTCTCGTACCGAGAGGCCACACTCTCAAGCTCGGGCTCAACTCACAAGTATGACGACGATGGTCTTGATTCCCAATCTTTCAATGGAGACCCATCGAGGCTCAAGTGCTGGATTGCGAAGAACCAAGGCCAATTTCTGATGGCGGCCGACGCTATGCGGAAGTTTAGACACAGGGTAGCCAAGTCAAAGCTCGTGAAATCGCTGCTGCGCATGAGCAAAAGAACGCTCCCACAAAGGCTGCAGTTTCGCTTCCCTTTTCTGAAACGGGAAGATAATTCCCTTGTGAAACCGTCATCGTCGTCTGCTATAGGGAAGTCGGTGCAGTACTGCTCAAGGAACCGGTGGAGGCCAGGGTTGGAATGCATCTCAGAGGTTGATTTCCTCACCGGCTTGCTTCGAGACTCTAACATCAATGATAGATAAGCCGACAAGAAAATCTTCTTGTACGAGTATGCCCCTCATCCATAGAACGAGAAGTTTCGAGTGTTGGTCATGCATCTTGTCACGATCTATCCTTGCCTTAAATAAAAGGCTACAAAACATTGTGATTTCTGGTAAAATAGTCCCCATGTATCACCTAGCCGTTCCAACTTGCATTTCTCAAGGGTTCAGGTGATGAGGGCTCCATAGCAAGATGTACACAAACTGTCAATAAAACAGGTCCAACGCAATGCTTTGGACTTCAATTACTCATTTCACATCTCCCTCTCTGTGACACTTTGGCAATTCCTTGTTCCTCAGTTTCTACCACAACGTGTTGTACATTGTTCCACAACGGTGTGAGGCACTACATAGATGAAAAATGCAATTTAAAAATTAAAAATAAATAAAATCCAGTAATCCTCTCCACGTGCGATTGGTCATGTCAGCCCACAACAAATCCAGCTGGAAATTCAACCTCGATATCTCTGCTGCTTAAAAAAAGTAATTCAACGGTAATGTTTTAGTTGATGCTCTGTGCGAGAGAACTCCCCAACGAAGAACACGAAACCAGCACCCAGATGCGACCGTTTCGTAAATTCACTTAACTACCAGGTCAAGTCTCTATTAAGCAGCCTGAATGACACCAGACACGACTGAGAAGACAAGTCTACGCACTGCCACTGAACAAGCTTGCTGAGCACCATTAAGAAAAACCACAGGTACACACACAAGCTTCGTGATAAACACTCACAAGTGCAGCAAAACAGCGAAGCTCCGGAGCTAGAATCATTCAATACCCTCCTTCTCTCTCGCTCGTTCGCTCTCAGTTTCTAACACTTCGTTGTTTGTCAACCAAACGTGTGAAGGCAGCCAGTTGGAGTTGTTGACATGGGATGCAACGAACACCCACACGGAGCTCCACCCCACACTGCTACTCACAGTTATTATGGCCACATGGCGTTGACCCCATTAATGCTGCAAAATCACTCTCTCACACAAACACACACACACACACACACTCACTCACTCACACAACTACACAACAAATCAACTCTTCAACGCAAATCCACCTCACAAGTGTCGGTTTTTTCTACACTCAGTGAGACATCAATTCGGCTGCTTGAGGACCCATTTTTCTGTTGTATCAAGTCATGTAAAGTAAAGCATCAGTAACTGACTCTCTGCACACCTCACTTTTTTTCTTGTTTTCTATACATGAAGTGATGATTTACAACTGATGCTCTAATAATTTTGGTGATGTTGGTGATGCTTTACAACTGAATTTTATACGTACTGTGGATTTAATTCTCATTCTCAGAAACTGAGCACTTCATGGATGTTAAGCTCTTCAGATACTGGGCGAGGAATTATCTTTTGCATTATTAAAAGGTTTGAAAGTGGTGTTGTTACGTCCTCTGGTTTGATGAACTCTGCCACTTGGGCATCTTTGTTTTTTTTAGTGGAAATGGAATGTTTAGATTTAGAATGTGGGTGTTGTGTGCGAATTTTTGTTTGCTGTCAGTGATGAGGTTTTGTCAGAAGATGTTGTGTATTTATGTTGAGCATGTGTGGGTTGAATCTTAACATTGGATTCACACGATATTAAGTCAATGCACGCCTAATCTGCTTCTATTTATTTAAAATAACATGGATAATATGTTTGATTATTATGAATATTATTAGTATTATTTCTATGCTTATACTTTAATGATAGGTATTTTTGATAGATTTCCAACACAAATATGATCTTTATTCGGAGATAAATTATTTTAAGAACTTCAGATCCATACAAGTAATTTATGTTTTGAAGATAAATTACTAGAAACATTTACATGGAGTGTTCTTATTCTATTTTTTTATGTGTGCATATATATATATATATATATATCAAAACTCACATCTACCCAAAAGTATATCAGATGGCATGTAAAAAATAAATTAAGTAATTTATATGATATTTGATTACTTTTTAAATAAATTTAGAATATAATCAAACAAGTACATATCTTGATTATCATTATGTTTATAATGTAGTACCAAGTAATCTCTATGGGATAGTCCATGAGTAAGAGAACTCCTGAAAAGATAAATTAAAAATCATAAAAAAAAAAAAAACAAAAATAAAGTTCTTTTACCAAAGCATGACCATACTACAAATGATAATAATAATTTTACTATTTAAATTAGTTGAAGAATATTTTGGTGTCTCTGAAATTTTATTCTAAAAATCATAAATCATAAATATAGATACAACTAATTTGATTATTTATAATATATAGATACAACTGTTTGATTCACTCTTCAGTAGTTATACATTTCAATCATTTTTTAAAATTTCTTTACAATAAACACAGTGTTTGAGTTTTTTTAAAGATCCAATATGGCTTTAATTTCGTACAACCACTATACAAGTATCCTGTCTGAGTAAAATTCTTACATGCAAGTCAAATAAATATAAATAAAATACTAATGAATAAAAGATTAAAATTAAAATAAAATACTTTTTGCACAAATTTGCCTTATCTGTTAAATGACATGCAATATTTAATTAATTGTTTTATTTTTATTTTCTTAAGTTTTATTTTAAAGATATCATTATTTGTGTATTTTGTTTCATAGAAATTTGAATAAAAAATGTACTAAGTTCTAATGATTTGGAAATAACTATTTTAAAAAATAAACGTTATTTTATAAATAAACGTTATTTTATAAATAAACGTTATTTTATAAATAAACGTTATTTTATAAATAAACGTTATTTTATAAATAAACGTTATTTTATAAATAAACGTTATTTTATAAATAAACGTTATTTTATAAATAAACGTTATTTTATAAATAAACGTTATTTTATAAATAAAATCTATTAATAAAAATAAAAATTTATAATAAATAACTTTTAGTTTTTTAGTGCTTAAATATGTTTTACAACATCATCAGTTTTATTTTTTAATATCTTAATGAAATTCATCCATGACTTAAAATAATATCTTAATAAATTAAATTATCATTTTTAAGATATATAAAATAAACTTAAATAGAAAAATCAATGAAATAGAAACTTTTAATTAAAAATTCACATTCCATCCTATACATTAAAAACATTATGCTTAAATATTTAAAATAACCATCTTTATTCTAATCTAATTTACTATACATACGATATTAATTTAAATCTTTTTCATAACATTTATGTGGACATCTAACTATAAGCTGTATGGTAAAAAAATCTATATATATATATATATATATATATATATTTGTAACATGAAGTTTTTTAAAGAGTAATCAAGATATTTTTAAACAGCTTTTCAAGAGAAAATTTTATAATATTAAATATTTTTAGCTTTCGGAAAAAAATAAATATCTAAAAACATTTTTGCAGTGTTTCGCACCACAAAGTTGAATAATCAATGTATCAATTATGTAGCATTAATGTGAATAGATTGGTTTTCCATGTTAAATAAACAGAGATAGAAAGTTTTTATGATAGATATTTTAAATGACGTGAACATTAAATGAAGGACCCTTTAATCAAAGATATTTTGCCTATCATTGGTGGCTAACACAATCAGCTATCACAAAATAATTCTCAGTCTTTCATCACCTGTCCAAAATCATATATAATTTTTAGGTTTTTTACATCTTTATTTTTTACCATTAACTTCAAATTACTGATTTAGGATTAATTCTTTCATAATTAAAAACCCAAAATGTTTATTTTTAAAAATAATACAAATTTATCATAACATGAGTTTAAAAAAATTAAAGTATAAATGTCAAACATATCTTACAACATTTCCATAATCACAATATTACACTTCAAGAAGAAAACATTTCTGTGCAACCAATTCATTTTTTTTTTTTTCTTCTTCTTCTTTTTATCAAGTTTTAAATACAATAAAATCATTTAATTGCAATGCATCAATAACGTGTTAAAAACACAATCTAGTCTTTAATAAAGCACATTCATGAGAATCAACTGGTTTTTGTGTGCAATTGTATGTACATTACAATACCATCAAATCGTCTGTATATACATATATACATACAAACTATATTACACTTTATTTGTGTGAATGTTTTTGAAAGTGAATCTGTAAATACTTAGATTTATTTTTTATTTTATTTTATTTTATTTATGTCTAAGAATTTCTTCATATATATATATATATATATATATATTATAGTTTTGTATTATTGATTATTCTAAGCGATCAAGCTTTGGTGGGATAAATTTGGTTGTTCATTTGTTTTTTAATTTTTTAATTTTTTTACCATCAGATCTGTATTCCTATAAATAAATAAAAATGCTGAGTTTATCACTTGTTGATTTTGCTCCCTGTACTAAAAAATACGTTTTTTTTTTAATACAACTTCAAACTTTAACTTAAACACACGCAGTTATTTATATCTATTAAAAACTTCAATTGATTGGGATTGATAATCTAATCAAAGTAAATAGAATCCCATTAAATTTCTAACAAATCTTACATTTTTCTCACCTAATAACGCTTCAACAAATCACTCATAAAATAACTTTAAACAGCAGATGAACAAGAGAATTATAGGTTTGATATGAATTTACACTTTATTCATAATATTCAAATTTTAATTCAAAACAAGGTACGTATATTTTCATAGAACTGATTCACACAACAATCAAATAAAATCTTGTAAGATATATGCCACTGGAAATTCTACTTAATTACATCATGAATTATTGTCATTAATATTGTTCATTATTTTACCTCAGATATTCTGTAACCAAAACATTTAAAACGCTTTGAATTTCCCTGTGACATAAAAGTTGTATCCAAGCAACCAAAACGAAATAAAGAAAGTTTTACTCTTGGTTTTAGTACAATCCTTCATGGTGTGTTATATTCATTTATTCATTCATTCATTTATAGTTCAATGCTAAAATATTTATGTTGAGCCATCCTACAAGAAATAACAACAACAATAATAGTAAGATTAATAATAATAATAATAACCTTAATAATGGTAAATAATCCTGCATATTGTTTTGGAAAACTTTACATCAGAATTTATTGTTTATTTCAGTGACATTACGCAAGAACTCATTTAATTTAATTTAATTTAATTATTTTTGTTTATACCTTAAAAGCAAGAAAAGAACTGAGTGATTACACACTGATACCATTCATTATTTGTCAGCATTTTCAGCTTCATAAACAAACCCCCTTCTTAAATAAACAATCAGATGGGTACCTTCAGAAAAACAAAGCAAAAAAAAAAAAAATTATCCTCATTCAAACTTTGCTGTTCAAAATTTCAAAACCAGGCTCTTAATGCTCCCTCTAATCACCCACCCCAAAAAGCAAAAAGACAATACTTTCTACTTTCTGCATTTACTTTATCTTATGCAATTTATAAATATAAATAAGTTGAAAGTGATTTCCTCTCTGAACAGGTATTTGGATGAAGAAATTAATTAGTGGCCCTCATTTAATCCCCATTCCACTCTCACTGTACGGGACTTAATTACAGTAGATTAAGCGGGTCCACTAATCACGATTAGTATTTCTTAATCGGGTTTAAAGGGCCTGGCTTAGTGAATCCGGGTTCGGGCGTTGACTTGGTTTGGAGAGGCGAACTGGGTCCTGTTCACACCGTCGGGGTTGGTCCTGTTCACACCGCGCGGCAATTTTTTCATGGCTTTTTCCAACTTTTTCGGGCTTGGTGTCGGTGAGTTACACCTTTCTAATCATCATACTCAATACAATACCACCGTCTTATTATTATTATTATTATTACTAATACTAATATCGTTGCAGCACTCTTTGTAGAAAAAGGGGACCCATACCCACCATCAAAACGACACTAATGAGACTTTTACGTTTTTGTCTCATTAGAACCGGTCAGCGTTTTTTCCTGTTCAGAAATTACTTTTCCTGCCCTACCCTAGCTGCCCCCATCCTCGCAGGCCCGCCCCACTCCCAACGTCAGATCAGTGGCTAATCCTTCACTAATCACATCACTAATACAGAACTAAACCATGTCACTAGTCCGCGTCGTACAGGCGACTCGACGCGACGCGGGCCCGCCAGGAGGGCCGGAGTTCGAAACTTGTGTGCGTGTGTCGCTCAATTTCTCGCCGGCTTCATCAAATCCACCAAACCCAATTCAGTTGAAGCAAAATTAAGACGAGCTCTGAATTGGGTTTTGTATGCAAGGACTGCAATTGCCGTGTGGGAATTGGAACCCAGCTTTTGCAGCAGCAGCAGTAACTTAACTGACTGGCAGCGCTCGGTGTTGCCGTGGTAGCGAGAGCCCGCACTGCACCCCAAGGACGTCGACGGAGTTATTGCCGTCTTCATCGCCCCTTCCATGTGGCAGCGCAACCCTTACATTCTGTTGTACTTCCGTCTTCGTTCATTGCTGGTGCTCCTGTTGCTGCATTTCATGACTGCAGCATGGTGGAGCATTGTCCAGGATTGCCCCAATAAGTCCCTTCCAGTTGCTGCATTACAGTCTCCCTCTTCGTTCCTGCTCTTCGCCGATATTCCACGGGGTTTCAGGGTTGTCGGCTCTTGTCATCGTGTTGGTAAATTGAAGGATATTTGTAGTTGGGGTAGTGTGAGATTCGGTGCTGTAGTCCTTGCTCAAGTTTTTGGGAGCTGCACGTGAGTGTGGATTTTTGTGACGAATCGCTCTGCTGTCGTGCATCTTCGTTGTGTGGGGAGTGAGGCAGGCGGAGAGGAATAGCGATTTAGCAAGTGGTGGGGAAGGGGGAGTGTGTTTAAGAGTGAGCAGTGTTAGAGTGAACGGACTACTTGTTAACGTGTTTTTTTATGTCCCTCTCTCTTGCCGACTGGTAAGCGAGATCCTCGTCTTCGTGTTCATAGCGCTGCTCGACGAATAAGTTTTTAGGTGCGAGGCGTAATATACTCCTGAGAATACCGTCCGGGTCACACCATTCGTGTCCACGCTCCACCTGCCGCGATAATTATATGGTTTGGCCCTGAGTCGCAACAACAGTTGTTGTTTGTACTTTGCAACTCATTTCTTCTGAAGTTCAGCAAGTTCGTGTGGCTCTGTATGCTTGTAGCTGTATTGCCCCTACCAGTTCATACACCCAATACGCTGTGGGGCTTTTCACTGCGGCCGGGAATGTTTTGTGCTGTATACATATCAGCTCGAGTTGTTTGACGAGGGACCTCCTCGTTGCCGTTTTCCCTCAGTCGTGGGGTGGATTAGAACTTGATGTATTCCTCATCAAGCAGCGCATCCCTCGACCATTCATCCTAGACTTTGGTTAACGAAACGAGCATGGTAGAAAATTGAAAGATTCCATTTCAGCACAGTTCCTTCACTTGTACGAGTTGGGCCTGTTTTTGTTTGTTTTTTAAGAAAGAGTGGCATTTGGTGCTAGGAGTGGAATGTGAGATCGGCATCTGTGCCTCCGATTGTGAAATCTATCGTTTCGCCTCTGCGGAATTAGATGAGCGTGATTCTGGTTCTCCAACGGACAAACTTTATCGGCGAGAATTGAGGTCCTGGATCACAATTTTGCCGCCATCAATCAACAATGAAGGGGCGACTGTTTAAACATGTCTGCGGAATGCAGCCCGTCAGGGTAATCTACGGCGACGGTGAAGTGCTCCACCTACCCCCGCTAACTACAGTGGAAGAAGTGCTCCAATCTTACCCTCACCATTTCGTATGCCAACCTGGGCTAAGCAGTGACTCTGGAAGCCGCGGCAATCAAATGATGTCCTTAGAAGACGAGCTTCAAAGCGGTTGCATCTATTTCCTCCTCCCAGTGCCAAGGCTATTTCCTGGATCAATGTCCACGTCTTGCCAATGTAGATGCTTCGCTAACAACGCGTCCACTGCAGCAGTAGAAGGAGTTTTGGAAAACAAGTCTTACATGTCACCGTTGAGAATATATAGCTCCCCTCAAAGATTTGGAGGCTTTGGCCCCCAGTTGCGGTCTCCGAAACACAGATCGTTAAGAGAAATGCTCAGAAGCTCAAAGAGCAAAGTGCTTCCAGAATCAAATTTGTACAGCGCTGACAGGGATGAAAGCATGGCATCTTCACCAAGGCCAGCATGGAGAAAATGCCCTTGGCGGCCTCGGCTAGGGTGCATTAGCGAGGAAGATGGCTTGGAAATGGCGTTGGAGGAGCTTAGATATCACGGGTTTATGTTAAGACGAGAATCCATCTCTACTGCCGTTAAATTGCCTCCCAAGCTTCCTTCTCCTCCTCCAAGACCTGCCCCAATACTGAAGTCTGCAAAGTAAATTAGTTCTCACTCTCCCATTTTTCTTGTAATTGTGCAAGATATGTTCTTCGATGAATTCCCCCGAGTATGCTTGACACTGTCGACAATTGTCAACGTCTGGCCATGCCATGCATTTAAGTAGCTGAGCTTGTCCAGCAACTTTGCTGGGCAATAGACACAGTTCCCAGTGTCATCTCTGTTATTGACCAGCGATATCTGACATTTGTGCAGGGTAACAGCACGCTCTGAGGTTGGATGGTCGAGTGTGGCAGCAGGAGTTCCAACATTAGTAGCTACATATTGAAATGGAACTCCCAACTGCAAGACACGCACCCCTCGAAAGTCTGCCATTGAGGAACCTCCCAATCGCCATTGAACTTCAATTAGAGGGAAACAACTGCTACTCCTGATTCATGTCATCCCACTTCCATGAATGGTGTTCTTTGTATCATAGACCGTTTAGTCTGGACTAAGAGAGGGTTTACCTCGGAAACCAAGTTAGGAACTTCGTACTATATGCCAACCAGAGGTTGACGTTAGTTTCTGCCGCCTTTCCACATTAGTGACATGAGACCTTGTGTTCTTCAAAGGGCAAGCTTGGCTCTTCAAAGAAAGATGTAGCTTTCAAACACTCATAAGTATTTCGATATGGCTTTCCGTCGGTGAGGAAATGCATCATAGAGTTGCGCAAGCTGTGAGGTCTTAATGCAGACGAGATAACGTGGAGAGCTTACGAATCACATTTCATGTGCATGTGGTTGATTCTCTGCATAATTGTTGTAATGCTAACCTCTTAAGTTCATTATCTTCATGACATCGAAGTGCTTAACTGCGACGAAGCCAACATGCATGTCAGCGGCAGCAGCTCAAATCGGACATTTGGATTTCTGTTACGGTTGGGATCTTTCATTGCAACTGAGGGCATCGAATGAATGTCAGTAGCAATGACATCTTAATCACTGTGTGAATGATAAGTAGGGATTTTCGATAATTATTCAGTGTCAGTAGTAAGTATTGATGCATGTCTCCATCTCGAACAGTGGCTATAATGTAGGTGAAGCGAAGGAATACTCCAGTGTAAACAATTATGTGTTCAGGTCATTCTGCGACATGGCAGCCTTCTATGGAAGGAAGGCGACAATGGGGACTTCAAAGCTGTTAACATTCAGTGGCTTATCCAATTCATTACATCTCTTAATGACAGAAATTGCAACCACGCGGATGAGTGGCGAGAGCCAAGTTCTGGAGATGAGCGTTGATGAATCTATGCAAGAAGGAAGGTCTTCATAGACATTCTCTTCGTGAAATAATACATGGTAGCTGGATTCAAGCTACCCCTAGCTAGAAAATAGCACCTACACTACTGTACAATTGCCATCTGTCGTCCACTACACTCCATAAATTGACACATTATTTTCATCACTACTTGTAACAAAGGTTAGATACCAGTTGGGAGAAGTTATTATCATAGTTTGGTGCAACAAATGAAACATCATCCAAGGCTGGTCATGCGAATCGTTCGCGACCAAGACCTTGCTATATTCAACAAAAGAATGAAAATCCTTAAAAAAAAACACTGCTGTCAAATCCACATACTTTCCACTGCTTGGCAGTGACTTCCGAAGAAACTTGCGAACCAAATGCTCCGACTTAAATGGTGAAAGCAGGATATACGCTCAAGGGAATGCCCACTGATTATCCCAGTGCGACAAGCTCTCTCGTGATATCCAGTTCTGAGCACTCCATTCTTCAAAAACGCTGGGTCGTCGAAGTGGGCACACCATAAAAAAGGCATTTTGCTAAGCCCTAAAGAGCTGCTGGTCGAAGACGACGAGCGAGAATGTCCAAGGAAATCAGTATCCAGGTGAATGTAGTTTTCTTGATGATGTACGAATATCGCTTTCACATCGAAGTCCAGTCTGAACCTGGACTATGCCATGTAAAGAGATCTCCCGTTGCTTCGAGTTCGCCTAGCTTGCTGAGATGCAGATGAGTATTTCAGCGCGGCAGGTGCCACGGGTGGTACAAAGAAGTGACTCCGAGGTGGTGAGACATTGTTTGTTGGGGGAGTGGATCTCGGCATACCACTCACCTGTCGCCTCGGCGGTGAAATATTTTTCGGCGGAGCTGATAGAGCGGGTGGGGTGTTTTTAGGAGGAAACTCACATTCCTGCTGCTGTTCTGGAGCGTGAAATTCCACGACAGGCTTCATTTCGGAGATGCTCTGCAAAACAGGCTTCCACGCGATTTTACGGCGCCTCCGTGCTCTTCTAAGATAGAACTCCTGCCTCCTCGAAACGTAAATTCCTAGTTCGGATCTCGCAGAACTCTTCAGTATCATCTGCATCACCTTGTCATCCATAACTGACGGTGGTGGAGAAACCTCTTCCGGGAGGTTACCATGTGATTTCACCACGCCGGAGGAGTTTCTGTGAAGTCGAAGTTGTTGCAAGCAATGCCGTATGAAGACAAGCTTGAGGTGCTTCGGGGTCCCATCTTCAACGACTTTCTGCTCTTCGCCTTCGCCCCGCATGGATTCGAGCCTCTGCATCGTGGCTGAGTCATAATCAAAAACCTTCCGTGACTGCGGGTTTCCGAGCACGGAGCTTCGCGAATCTTGTCCTTGAGCCCCGTGTCTGGATAGTCGAGGGAAAATCTTGGCTCTTCGATGCACTTTCTTCGACTTTCGCTCCAGGAATGGCTGGGCATTCGGAGTCGCGCTGACGAAGTAAGTGAATCCACACTCGAGCATCTCATTCCCCGCCATGCGATTCGTAATGGAATACGGGGTGCTTCCGCAGACGTAGTAGTCAGTATTTCCCAAAAGGAGATCCTTCACGCTACAGCGTCTGCTGCGATGTTCCACGTGCCCATCGGGGTAAACTATCCGCACACAATCTCGAGCCGTGACGCAGGAAAACGGAGTGAGCCCCATTGGAACGTAGATCCTCCACTCACAAGGATTCCTCGGTTCTAAGCAGCCCCTCGTGATCCTTGCCAAACGCCCGATGATCCCATCAGCAGTAACAATTTCTCCTTTCCATTCCGCGAGTACATGGATTCTCAACCAAATTGGTATTCGCCTCCAGTCGCTTCAAAGTTAAGGAGCATGATATATCCTCGTAATGTGGGCATCAAGGGACTCCAAAAGTAGATTGCCTTGCGATCAAGTCCTAAGCGCTCCCTCTCAACCCGACGACCTGACCAAAGTGACTGATCTAGCTAGATCTGCGCTGCATTTGCAATACTCCCCACACCATGAACTCCGACTGTCTGAGGGAGTGATGCGGGAAACTAATCCGCGTCACGTATTCGAAGAGATCGCTATGAATCAAAGGTCCACAACAAGCAGAGCACAGACAACTTCAAGTCGCAAGAAACGGGGGGGGGGGGGGGGCAACTCCGAAAATCCTACCAAGGCACGTTCACAACACTACTCGCAGAGCGCTCACCACGACGAATCCTCCGACATGTCCGAACCATCGCCGCTGCAACCGTCCGGCGCCAGTCGACGAAAACACGAGAGCAGGAGAAGGAGGACCCACGAGTGCAGGAGAAGGAGGACCCACGAGCGCAGGGCTCCGGGCATAGAATCCTTTCATGGCTCCTTCTCCGGACTCCGAAGAAAGGGAGAGGCAGAGAAGCGAGCTATACATACATCGGCAAAGGCTGAGGGGTTGATCAGGCGCCTAACGAACAAAACGGCAGGAACGCTAGCAGACGCGCACACGCAACAGGGGGGCTTAATATAAATCTGCCTGCCTGGATGCACTTGAACTTCGGTGACTCGAAAGCACGCCGGCATAGAAATGGAGTCTCACCGCCACGAGCGCCCCGGAGCTGGAATCGGACAGAGGGACTCGCACAATTTATGATGCTGACACCCATCTCGTGGCCATTTCTATCTGCGTCAGGGATCCCGCACCCTCGCGGACTCGCGCTGGCGGGGCCGCGATCGCATCTCGCGCGGGCTAAAGAAAGTCCAGTGGCCACCGCTGCCCCCCGCTATCCCCCTATCCCCCGCGGCCGTCACATGACCCGGTATAATCATACCCCCCGTTACCGGGGCTTGCTCAATTAACTTGCTTGGTGATAAAAATAAAAATAAAAGTACTAATATGCAAGGACTAATATACAATTAACAGTACTTGATGTTAAAAAAAGTACGTACATGCTTAGTTACGTATCCAACTACTTTTGGCAATGTTAATGTTCCACAATGCAACATTTTCAGTGAGAGTGCGGTCTATGTATTCAAGTCGAGGATAGTTTATTTTTCTAGCGTGACGACGTCCCTGACACCTTCCGGGTTCCAGCTGGGTAAAGTAACTCCAGCGGGGACCATGTTCCATGGATTCAGAAATCATATGGAGCCGATCTCAGATTCTGGAACGTCTGACAACACACAGCGAGCAGCGTAAACGCCGAAGTGCTACTTACACATCTATATGAATACTTTAAGAGCCAACCAAGTGCTACAGTCCATGCACATAGTTCCCTGTGATGGTAGTTAAAAACTAAACGCACAGTACATGAGATGCGAATCACGAAGGCATACACTCTCCGAATGATGACTTTGTGCAGTTGGGGTGTTGGGTTTTTAGTTTTAGTTTTTGTTTGTTTCGTTCAAGCCTGGCATGCTGTCTCATCCAAAAATGGATAATCAGTATACCCAACGACTGGATCCTGCGTGTAAAAAGTGCTGCGGTCATACTTGTTGAGGGGAGCGCAGGATGCGAGGCGCTTGGGCAGATCCGGGTTTGCGAGGAAGTGCCGACCGAACGCCACGGCGTCGGCTCGGCCTGTTCTGATTGCATCGTTGCCTTCTTTTCGATTAAAACCTCCAGCGCAGATGAAGCTCCCTTTGAAAGCTTTGCGCACTGGCCACAACGTTTTGTCGGTCTCGATGTGGGGCGTTTCCTGCGGTGAAAACCTGGGCTCTATGCAATGCAAGTACATGAGATTGTATTTGTTGAGAGCCTGAGCTATGCTGACGCCGAGAGCGACTGGATCGTCGTCTTTGGAGTCGTTGTAGTCTGTGAAGGGGGAAATTCGAACACCCAAACGGTCGGAACCAATCTCCTCCGAGACTGCCTCCACCGTCTCGATCAAAAACCTCATCCGGTTCTCCACAGATCCTCCATACTTGTCCGTTCTGTCGTTAACCGAACTCTTCAAAAATTGCTCGATCAGGTAGCCGTGTGCACCATGAATCTCGACGCCATCAAATCCTGCATAAGCCCAGACACAGTGCTAAAGCGTGGGAAGTAAGAAAAGGGATGTAACTGCAACATTGATAACATCCTTGGTTAGATGTTCTAAACCCTAATTCAAGGTGAATTCTGCGATTTTTCTGGCACAGCCAGAAGGAAAACTACAATTTGTTACAAGAAGACGAAGAATGTTGTCACGTTTGGCGCTAGTTTTTACCCGCTTCGATGGCTTTACGAGCTGATTTTCGAAACAGTTCCACATAACGAGGTATCTCTTCGGTTTCCAATGCTCGAGGTGTTGAAAACTCTGCCGTTCCATCACCCGTCGGTAGTACCAATTGGCCATTGATGGCTTTGTTAGTTGAAGAGACTGGGAATACCCCATCTGGCTGATATGCTGCATCACATTTGGCAGATTCCTCAAAGATTTTCACTTTTTCTATGATGGAACATGCCAATGTCTTTTCCCTTAATCTACACTCCCTACGAAAACTCTGAATGGCAAGATTTAGGGAAAGTGAACTTCAACAGGAAGGTCTTCCAAAGGTTTTTGTTTATTTTTGTTTTTTGTTTTTTCTTCTTTGTAAAATTTCACATTCAGCGATATAACATCTCATGAACCGCAACGCAGATGAAGCCAAAGCATTGAATTACATGGAGGCTTCATGGAAGTTTGAACCCATTGAAATAATATAGCCCCTCTAGAACATGCTTTTGTTTGTAGGTATGTGAAGGTCATTGTTTTTCACTCAATTGGGTTTCTCTTCGTAGACTTTAATTTCATCATTCAACATAAACCAGCATGCAATCCTTTCTCAACTTGATTCATTCGGCTTAGGCCGCGAAGAATTACCGACATTCTCAAACCTCTACAATACTCTCTGAGGTGGTTGGCTATGGAAGCTTACACTTTGTCTACGAATAACATGAAAATGTGCGTGACAAAAGAAAAATGTCAGAAGAACTCAAAACACACAACAAACTGCAATCCGGAATTTGAGAGAGAAGACGTACAATTGTGAGTTGCGCGGCCGACATGCCAAAGCTGACAAATGAAGATCCCTCCCTTGTCATGCACAGCTTTAACAATCGGCTTCCAAGCCTCCACTTGCTCGTCGGTGTAGGCCCCTGGCGTGTGTGGATACCCGTAGCTGCAATCTGAAATTCCCGTAGCTTCAGTGATGAGCAGCCCCCCGTGAGTCGCACGCTGCGAGTAATACAGGGCAGCGTGTGGCTGCGGAATGTGGTTGTAGGATCGGCATCTGGTCAGAGGTGCAAGCACCACTCTGCACAAACCCCAATTGCTCACACAGATTCAGTGCATCACTTCGCGATCAGCTCCTTGAATCACTTGAGACAAACACTTTTACTAGCGTACCAGACTGGACGTGAATTCATCAAGCATGCGATTGACAATCGACAACGGCAGGCATGGTAGTTATGGCACCGCTGCGGTCACAAAATTCATCAAAGATTTTAGTTCACAAGCAGATGTAGTTCAGCTACGAATTGAGGCAAGCATAATTCAACACAAAAACAGGAATTTTGCTTCTCTACCTGTGACACAAGTCGAAGCGTCCCAGCTTGGTTGGTGTCGCCAGTGGAGACCTTTCATGTTTCTCGTCGTGTTCCAACCCACTTCCCTTGGAGCAGACACGCTTGCCATAAGACCAGTAACAATCCATGACTCACTCGAAGCCCTTTGAGAACAGCTTCTCTGATTCCTTCCGGTCACAAACCAACCCCCAACAATGAGCCACATGCGTGTAGTATTCCAAGCACTTCCTGGCCATGTCTAGCATCACCGCTTCACGATGTCAACGTCTTCCTTTAGCTAACATTTAACACACACACACACACACATTCTGCTACACAAAATGCACTGCACCATTAAAATTAGCCCAGAATCTGCAAACCTGCTTGTATCTGTCGAGCCAACGTCGCCACGAACGCGTCACCCCAGGTTCAACTCCCGTTTCTATCTTACGGTGCGTGATGAACACCAAATAAATGTCTCAGAAAACTGTCCACAGCTCGTCTATCGTTCGGACATGATCCTGCAGAGCATCGCTCCAATCCTTGCACTGCCTTCAGAACAAAATAGTATTTTTTTTATACCCACCAGTATCATGTGAAGAGGTGCTGTTTCGTTTGTAATTTCTTGCAGATGCTCACCGCATTTGATTCTGGGCACAAGGTTCCTTAAAGCTCTGCAGAAAGTTCACATTTCTAGCTCCCTCTGCTCATCCTTCGGTGGTGATGAGTCTACTGGATGCCGACACAGTACAACATCCTCGATTATGAGTAAGTTTTTTAATGTTTTGTTGTGTGTTTCGTTGCTTCTTTCGTTGCTTTTTCTCGTAACGATTGTTCGTTGGAACCAACCTACACTGTACTCATACAGTGGAAAGTTCCTAGTACATTTCCTAATGAACTGTGACATGTGCATGATCGTAAATTGCATAACACGATGGTAAACTGCATGATACGATGGTAAATTGCATGAAACGCTACAGAATTTCGATCACATGAATTTCCAATTTTATTTTAATTATGTGTCTATATATATATATATATATATATATATATAAATATATGTGTGTGGTTTAATTAATCCATGATCTTAACTGCAATGTATTGTGCAATATGAGCCATTAGTTTCTATTTTGTCAGGTTTTCTCTTCCAGTCAATGCAGAGCGTGTTTCATTATGACAGCATCCTGAAAAAGTAAAATAAAATAAAAGACCTAATACAGATTTACGATATTTCTAACTGTAGGGTGTGAGTAGTTGTCAGGCTGTAATTTAAGAAGTGAAATAGTCATACAATATAATAATAAAAAATGATAAGAATAAAGTGGTCTCATAATTAATTTAAACATTGGGATTTGTGAATAAGGTGTTTTGCAAGGTATATATATATATATATATATATTCATCTTTTGATGAAAACAATAATATCAGAATTGGTGGTTGATTATAAATTTTTATTAGATCATAAAAATGAGAAAATGCAACAAAATGTATACAAATATTTAATCAAAAGTCCAATACTCTAAAAATAAATAAATAAATAAATCATAAATCATAATCTTAATCTTAATATATTACAGAGATGCATTTCAGCTATCACAACAATTTTCAACACAAAGTTACATGTTGCTATCATTATTATTGCAAAATGAACCCATCTTTACAATGGGCCCTTACTAGTGTATTGAAACTACACCTTATTCTCCACACATGGCCGTGTATCACATCTAAGTCAAGTGGTTCTTTAAGGAGATGTGTTGATACTGTAGCAGTTGAGCAACTATGTTAGAACCAAAAAAATTAGATGATTTTAATTTTCAAGTTGTTTCTAATTTTTTTTGCTTTTGGATAAGTTGTTATACATTGTATTAAAAGTGTACAAAAAAAAGAAGAAAAAACAAAAATAAAAAGTCTCCTTCTAGGATTCTTATATTTTTATCCAAATGAGGTTGTTATTTCCTAAACTCTAGATCCTATTCTAGTCCTAAACTCTAAATTCTAATTCTAAACTATAAATCCTAAACTCCAACTTCACTTTGATATATATATATATATATATATATATATAATAAGTGAGGATTTTATAAGATTGATTTCATTGCACTTTAATCACTACCAACTTGTGACCTCCTTTTTCTAGAAAAGGCATACATTAATCTATTAAAAAGATAAATATATAGAAGGCATAGGAATCACCATCATACTACTATTAATGGAAATTTCTTGCTCCCACCAACAAATGACAAGTCACTCAACATATTTCTTTAATGTAAGCATTGCAAGAAAAAACCCTCCAATCATCTTTGATAATTTAATTGAAATTTTTAGAAGATATAATTCTCCCTTTTATTCTTCTATCAACATGGAGGTTTGAACTTGGGACCCACTACCTTGTCATCCATTCCTTCTTTACAAGCACATAACCACTATTTAATGTTCAAAATAAGAACTATATGAGTAAGAGCCAAAGTGTTTAACAAATGATTGACTAATTATAAGTCCAATAATAAGATAAGGTTGTTAATCATGAACAACTTTGTGGATTGTCTTGCAATTCTTTTTTGCAACTATGGCTACTCTATTGGTTCTTTTTACATAATCTATGAGTTACTTCAACTATTAAATGCAAATCTTTGTTTCTCTAACTAATTCTTTAAGATTGCAATATATACTGCTTATATTCATTATCTTATCATTAACAATAATTATATAATAAGTTTGGCCTCTAGTAAGAAATTCTTCTATCTTCCAACTAGACATCCTATCACTTGCAATTGTTGTGAATTTATTCTTAGAACAATAAAAGATTCTTGGTTCTCTACAAAATTATCTCTATAATTCAACCTAAGATAAGTAAACTTTGGATTTGCTGAATATTTGCACTATTTTATGTGTATAATATATAAATCTTTGCTACAAAATCCTTCAACATGATATTATGTTTTATCAAATCTAAGAAATTTAATTACAATAAAATTATGTTAAATGAACATCACCAACATAAAAATTGTCAGAATAAATTTTATGGAGTGCTTTAATATAAAAAAATCAAAAATCAAAAATCAAAAAATTTCTAAATCCAAATTCTTTCAAAACTTAAGTATTAGGTGAGATTTATTCAATAATTAAATAAAAATATCATCAGTAGTAATAAATATATATATATATATATATATATCCATAGTGATTAAATTGGTAATGAATCAAACCTAACTATATATATAAGAAGATATATCATATTGAAATGTTAATAGAAATAATACAAAATCCAAAAAAATCTACATTTTAAAATTTAATATACATTCAATATTTTTAGAAAAGTAGTTCAGTACTTTATTTTTTTCCAAAGACCAAAAACCTTAAATATATCACCACTTCTATATTAGGTCTTCACCAATTTCTATCTTTTATTAGCAAAATATGTAAATACTTATAAAATGATTTACTTATAAGATGCTTTTTATGAAAATTGAAGGCTAGAAGGTACAAAAATTTATTATATTTATATAAAAAAAAGTTTTAAAAAAAATAAAATAATAAAAATAACAAAAAAGAATCTATTCAAATTTCAAATAAATCCTAAAAAAGCTTAATAAAATTCTATAACAATCTTAAAATCTTAATAACTAAAAATTAAAACATTAATATTTTAAAAAATACATATTTTAACTTTAGAAATTAAAAAAAGAAAATCACATAAAATTTAGAAAAATCAACCTTACCAATTGATATAAAAAAAACTAATAATTTGCTTTGGTATCAACCATCTTTCTTCTTTAACCTTAATGTGAATCTATTAGCAACAATAACTCCTTATTGAATCATTTACTTGCTTTTAAAACTAGCATAAATATTTTAGAATAAATATAATATATATTTTTAAATTATTTTTTTTATCTTACAAATAGATTGCTCAAGATCAAAGAAACCTTTATTGTCTCTTGAAATCCAAATTTAGAGACTCTAAAAAAATTACATTTTTACCAAAAAAACCTTGGCTATTTGTTTTAATAGATTTTATTAATGATCTTTTAATCTCAATTTCTTTAGACTTTATTTTTGTCATGATAGATCATCTAAAAAAAATAACATATTTTGTACCTTTTATAAAGTATATTACAAGTGAAGAAATAATAAATTTATTTTTAACAATATCTATTAATGTTATATACTTGTAAGTAATAATACATATAGTTGATGATTCAAATTTATATCAAGATTTTAAAAGATACTTTTTGATAGATTCAAATTTGATATCAAGTTAGCTTGATTTTTTTTGATTTCATATCAATAAACAAATAGTACATATAAATCAAATATTACAATAGTATTTAAAATATATTATCAATTATAACTAAAACAACTAGACATCTTTCTTGTCAATTAAAAAAACTTGTTATAAAATTTATTATTTCTAATAGAATATCATTAATAATTATATTATAATTAAAAAAACTAAATTCAATAAAAAAAAACTTTGGAGCATGAAGAATATGAAATTTATTGTGATATTAACAACAAAAAATAACTATGGTCAAGAAAATTATGCTCATAAGCTATTTACTAAAGTGATACAGTATAATAGAATTGATAAAGTAACTTTGAAAAGCTTTAATAGAAAATTAATTTTAATATAAGTGAGAGCATAAATATACACCTCATAGCATCTCAAGGTTTTGCAATTCTTTTGAAGTAATTAGAGCAAGTTTGCAATAGGCTATATATACTTATAATATATTGTTTTTAAACTCTTAATTTTTTTTCTATCAATAAAAGCTCAAAACATCCAAACTTCTTTCCAACCAAATATTATGCATTCTAAATTTTTCACAATCAAAATAAAAAATAATTCTTGCTTTGCAATTTCTTGATATTCTAGTATTTCTATTGGAATACAACTACCACATGTTTGGAAAAAAAATCAGTAAAGTCAAAATGTAACCTACAATGAGAATATTTTTTAAATTAAAAATATATTTAATCAATATTAAATAAATATAAACATGAGTAGTTTGGAGAAAGTAAAATTTAGATCAAATCCAATTTATACAAATAGCAAAAGATGAAAAACATTATATTTTGCAAGATGATCATTGTGATATCTATTTTAGTTCAAATTGTGTCTTTGAATTTAGTAAAGTAATAGAGTTTTTTATTCTATAGGTTGAATAATTAATAGTAGACAAAATTATTAACACAACTACCAATGGAACAAATAAAAATCAAAGGAAACAAGACAAGCTGTAACAATGGTTGTGATAAGGATATGATAGTCAAAGAGTACAACGATGATAATTAGGATTTATAAGCCCAATCTAATCTAGCCTACTTTGTATCTTTTATTTTATTTTATTTATTTATTACTAATCCTTCTATGTCATAGTCTTGCCCTTTAAAATCCATGTCATTGATATTGAAGTTTGATCATTGTTAACTAATATGTGGCAATTAATTGCTCCATTAAATCCCATGTTCTAATCCATACATATATATATATATATATCTTATATTGAAGTATATGTTCAGTTTACCAATTATTCATATATAAAAAATAAAAAATAAAAAAATTAGATTAAAATTCAAAGATATATATATATATATATATATATATATATAGATTTATTTTAATATTATTCAATACCATTGATATGGTTTTTATTTATTTTTTATTGCATAAAATCTTGTAACTATAGAAAAGTTGCAATACACATCTATTTTAAACATACGAATTTGTGTTTTTTTCCTACGATTTTTGAGTAAATAAATTCCATTTGACAAAGAGTAACCATTAACTTCATTGAATTCTTTTATTGGATAAATTTTAATTGATGTATATATGAATATGATTGAGATTTTAATTTTTTTAATCTTTGATGATTTTTAAAATTATACATCTATCTATAACTGAATATTTGTCAAAATTTTACAATATTTTTTGATTTTTTTTCGAAGGGGTATTACAAAATTTTTTAAATCTTTTTAAAATTATCAATGAAAAAAATGTTTTAATAATTCGTCAAATTGAATATCAAAATTTTACAATATCTATATTGATGATATAATTTTATAGTTTATCTATGACAGCAGTCTTTACTACCAGATAGAATTCCTTTAAGATTTAATAATCATTTAGCTTGCTTAATTCAAACCTTTTTGCAATAATTAATCTCCTTAAACCTAATAATTTCTAATACTTATGAAAAATTTGAAAACCTATTCTATTATGTGTTAAACATTTAATAATATATAATTTCTTATAATTAATTGATTTTTAATGATTTTTGTGATTAATAAGAATAAATACTTATATGTGATTGGACAAGGCAAGGCCATGGGGCCACTAAGGCAAAATAAAGTAGTCTAGATGGTAAAGCCATGGCAAGATTAATTTCTATCTTGCCTTCAACAAACCACATTTGTTAATTAATAACCTTTGATAATTGATACTTTATCTTGCAACAAATAATATTGATTAATGGACTTAAATTTAGATAACAAAATTATTTGCATGCATTTCCATTTTATTCAAATACCAAGCAGTCGTTTATCTATCTTTATCCAAATAATATATTTTATGTGTGTATCATTTATTTCTTTCATTTCAACATATATCTCAAAAAAACAAATGTGTGTCTATAACAATATCCTTATAACTTTGCTATCCACAAAACACATCTATAAGGAACTTTTCTAAATATTTTTAAATTAAAAGAAAAAAATTTATTCAATATTGTAATTAAAATCACTTTGAGGTTTTTGTAATTTTATAAATATATAAAAATTAGATTGTAAGAGATGTTTGTCTTATGAGAGTTAACAACCCATTCTACGCCCTAATACTCAAGTTACCAGCGGGCACAAGAGCATCATCAAAAAATAAATTTTATACCATTTAACCGGTTTTTAAAATTAAAATTAAAATTATTTATAATTTTATTTTTTTGTATATCAATTTTATATATTTTATGCAGAGGGAAAGCAGAGGGCGAAGTTTGGCATGGATCGGTGGAGAGGTGCGTCGGGGACACACAGGGTATGAAGTGATCGTTGGGACTGTTTTACGGAGATAGGTAGCGTTTCGGTAGGAATTACGAGTAGCATCTTGTGAATTGGTGCTCGCGGTGATGTTGCGAACTCGCTGTTGCTAGCATTGGGTTTGTGAGAGCGGAGATTATGGTTGGTGGAAGACTTGTTAAATCTGGGTTGATGCTCAAAGGGTTCGACAGGGGAGGGTTGAAGTAGGTTGTGTGAGCGAGGAGGCGAGGCATGGACGGTCCTGCACTTGCAAGACGCTGGTATGGATTCTGATAAGGGGAGGTTATTGAGTGATGATTGAGTACAAAAGAGACTAGTGAAGTGGGCAGGTGTGTGGCGGATCAGTGGCGAGTTGCAGAGGCATAAACCCCTAAAACATTCTTGATAGATCTAGGCAGAAGAGCACATCTGGCAACAAGCGGCATATACAAATCTAATCTTTCAATTGATGATTCGTGAGTGTGTCTTCGTTTTTAGTTTGTTAGTTTTATGTGGAGGCTTGACCTTGCGCCGTCCGTATCGGTATATCCATTGCCATTATTGTTACCCTGCACTGTTGTTAAGACAATTAGGTTGTCTATGACGAACAGTGGGATCTGCAATCAAGCACTGCTCCATCAGTTGAGGCAAGATGGCATAGCCTCCAGATCTCCTTTGCCAATTGTACAAATCTTTCAAGTGGACGCCATTGAGTTTGGTTTTTTCGAGATAAACTGTCCGAGTAAGTCCATCGGAGATAATCCAGGATGCAACTTCAGCGGATTTCTTTCGACATGGGTACCAAAAAACAAATACTTCTTGCTAGAAATGACGGACTACGTTCCAGGTTGATAGTCTGAGGCGTGGATGATCCTAGCGAGCTCGTCGGCAAGAAGATTCTAATCTAGTCTGCGATTTGCTTGCATCATTCTTGATCACAACATCTCTCTAACACAAGGGTTTGTGTAATCCAAGGGTCAAGGCACAATGTCGTATTTGAAATTATGAAGAACTTCGTCAAAACACTTTATAGCAGGCTTGACTTTGTTGGCGACTCTCCAAAATCTCAACTGATTTTAAAGTTTTCGGTTGCCCAAATCCGTCCAGCTTCCATCTCCTCTTTAGCTTGCAGGATTGTCACACCTCACTCTTCTTGCGAGTCTTGCAGTGCCTAATCAATTGACAACATGCCCCAATTGCCTTCTATTCCAGAGTGATTTACAAGTCAAGGAACAATGCCATCATAAATGGCTTTAGGAATACGTTTTGTGGAAGAAAGACACAGAATGACGTCGGGCTTGAAACTGTCAACAGTGATGATCATTGTATCGCCATCCTTCCATTCATGCACGGTGACTTGATGGCCATTATCTTACAGTTTGAAACAAGCCCGCTGTGCCATCAAGTTGAATGCAATGCAAACAAGTAGAAAAAAACAGCTTCATTCCAACCGTTGGCATTGTATAAGTCAATTCTTTAATTCAAAGCGGTTCATGACAAGGTGCAATTGTATTACAAATTGGTGCTTTAGTAAAAGTTTGGGTTGCTTTAACATACCCTTATAAATATGAAGAACGAAGGTTAGGAAATGAATTGAGACAAAATAATTGATTCCATTCAGATTTATAACCACCAAAGAGTATTTGTCGGTGGTAGGGTGGTTTTTTTTTTTATGTTTATTATTATAATTATTGTCTTATCATTGGGAATAAAAAGAAGTTTGTACTTAAAATGAGAAAAAAAGTTCTGTATTATTTTGAATTTTTTTTTTGTAGTAATAGTAAAGAATAGAAAAACGAAGATGTAAAATAAGTGTTTTCTACTAAGTGTATTTTTAGTTTTTAAAGTTTTTCTTTTGAATCAACTTTAAGCAAGATTATTTACTTTTTTTTCTATTTAGATATCCAAAGTATCATGCACATTGCTATAGAGAAAATAAACAATGTAATATAAATATATATTTCTTTTTTTGTAAATATTTTTTATCAAATATTTTTTTAAGACGTGTGTATACAGATAATACCTTATTAATTGTATCTTGAGTTTGACAAATAATACATTGCATATATTGCAACAAAAACTATATCAAATATTAACTTATTAAAAAGACATGTAGCTCTAATATAACTTTATCTTTTAGTCATAATACATCCATATATTAACTTTCCACAATCTTATTTTGTATTAAATTTTATAATTAAGGAGAACTTCTTGAATAAATCAATCTATTTGTTTAAATGACTTTTCAAAATAAAATACTAATTTGTGATGCACATTTATGGAAATACAATCAAATTAAGTAAAAGAATATTTTAAAATAAAAAACTAATTACATTTTTACAACAATTAAAATAAAAATTAAATTACAATTTATATATCTATAATATATATATATATATATACATGTGTATGCTTAACCATAAAACCTTTTACATAGTAATAACTATGTGTGTGTGTGTGTATATATATATATATATATATAAGCATAGAGGACTTTAGAAGAAGTAACATGTAATAATAAGAGCCTTTCTTTTTGGTGGAATTCAATTATCTCAAATCCTTAATAAATTATTGTTGAACCACTTTAGCATTCCTCTTTGCATCATGAAAATATCACGTGACACTAAACTACCTCACTCATAAATTGTACCTTTTACGGAAATAAATAAATCAATACTCTAAGATTACAACCATAAACTAATTAAAGAAATTCTAATGCAACAAATTTATATTACAAATTATATATATATGTATATATATATATATATACACACACTCTCTCACTCTAAATCAGTGTTCCAAAAGTAAAATCAACTATATGATGTTCATTCAAAAATGAAGTTTGTAAATCAGAAAATGAGACAATCCAAAACCTCACTCGGAGTAATGGTGCAACTCCATAGCAGTGGAGGGAGAAGCTTCGCGGTGGTGTGTGGGGTGGAGGGGGGGGGTTCGGCCGACACTTCGTCATTCAGCAACAATACACACCACGAACACCACGAAGAAGCTTCACGAACCAACAACACCCGCCGACCTGGAAGAAGCCCGAGGACGAGGAGGGTGAGGAGCAATCCAGCAGCAGCGCACTGCTTGATTGACTGATTGATTGATTGTGTCAACTCTGTCCTCCTCTTGCCCACCTTCCCTCGATTCTTCTGGAGCTTGAGGAGCGCGCTCCTGCGTCGGAGGCTGCGGCGCTCAATTGGGTTCCCATCCAATCGTCCACTGCCTTTTTCCTTTTTCATCACACGCGCTCGCTGAGTTTCTTTACAATCCGTTTTGGGTGCCCCGTTTCCCATTTTGCGGCCCGTCTTTGTAAGTCTTGAAGAGGATTTTCGTTTTTGCCTCATTAGCTCCTCTGAACCCATATTTTGAAAATTAGGTTTCTGCCTCATAGAAGTTCTTCGTCCTGCATGTATCAACCCTTGATCGCACCGTGGTGCGGTGTTTCCGGCATATTGCGCTCTTGGTGTTATCAAATTTGGGATTGCTCCGTGACAAGTTGAAGGAGGGGGCAAGATTCGGCAGTTTTGTTCTTGTGAGGTGTGTTTTTGAAATCGAACCGAACGTCTTTCCTCTTGTATTTTTGTCTGTCACCTCCCCGAATTGCACGTCGCGGGTTGACTGGGTCGAGTGTTTCGTGACGAGGAGCTGCGGTTGTTTGTCATCGATCGGAGGCCTGCGAGTGGGCTGTTAATGGAATATTAGGTTCGGATTTCTTAAAGCAACTGGGTGGCAGAATGTCTAGATGACGTTATGTTTTCTTTTGTTTTAGGAGTACTGATTTTGTTTTTTGAAATTACGACCTGAAACCTCCAATTGAGTTGGTATTCGTATAAATTACTTTCCGCATTCTTGTCGGGTGTTTAAGAGGCCAATCGCGATTAGCCTCTTATGTATCGTACTCCAAGGTCTACTCTCTCTCTCTCCCCTTTTGGTCCACCATCTATCGATGAGGAATTGCAAGTAGGGTAGGAACAAGTTTTAGGTTAATGTACTATTTGTCAGATCCTCCACATCTTTGAGAAATATCCAGTAGATTGGCTTTTCCGAGTTTCCCTGTCCTCGATGCAGGAGTTGTGTTGCTTTGAAGTGCGCGACGCACACAAGAATTTCGATTCATTACTTTTTACAAGGCAGGGTGCAGGGCAGTATGTTCCCCGTCTGATTAGGGTTTCGCATTCACACTTACATGCGCACAAATATTATATTAAGGCTCCGTCTTCAGCACAATTTGAAGCCCTTTCAATTGTTCACACCTGGTGTCTTGCTCCTGATTTGCAGGAACGCGCTTTCCTTTGTTCAAAGTTATTAACAGAGTGAATCTTATATGAGCCTTGGACAAAACCGAGCATATATTTCCGCTTACGACAATGGATTTCGAACTGCGAGCTGCGAAAGCAAAATGGGAGAAAGAGCAGAAGGAGAAGAAGGAGAAGGCGAGGAAGCGGTTGGAGCAAGAAAGAAAGGCCAGAGAAGAAGCTGCCAAGCGGCAGGAAGCTATCGAAGCTGCGCAACGCATCCGCCGAATAGAAGAAACGGCTGCAGCTATCGCTGTGCGTTTCCGAATTTTGCACTCAATGACGGATCGATCAAAGAAAGCATTTTGATGTGATGTTATTTTCATTGTGTTCCAGAATAGACTTTTGCTCTCAGTTTGTGAGTGCGTTTTTGTTGGTGTTGGTTGTTCGAACGACTCTCTCAATTCTAATCATCAACTTCACACGTCTTGACATGTTCAGGCATCAGCGCAAGAGCTGGAGGATTTGGAAGCTGGCGATGGGATTATTTTCAACCGGGTATTTAAGGCTTTGCTTGTCGCAGGCAAAGGTGACAAAATTCGGCTTCCCGCCTCATCTTTTGAACAGCTCTCTTCCCAAAGTGCAATTGACAAAGGTCCCATGTTTTTTGAAGTGTCTGCTGTGCATCATGGGAGTCGTCCAAGTACATCAAGCTCCGCTGCATCCCATCTGGAACAGGTGATTATTATTATTATTATTATTGAAATAACTATGTGTATTAATCTGTTTTTTTGGTGTCACATTATATCATGTTATCATATTTTCATTGTTGGTCTATAACTCGTTGTATTTATGTTAATCTTCCGTTTTATTCTTCATGCAGCACGAAATCAACGGGGAAAGTTCAAAACCAAGGTCAACTCATGCTGGTGTTCTAGAGTTCACTGCCGAAGAGGGGGTTGTTGAGCTTCCTCCCCACGTTTGGCACAATGCTGGATTTTCGGACCCAGAGTATCTATCGAAAAACATTCATAGGGGTATACCTGAGGCTAGAGTACGCTATGTTAGGCTTCCAAAAGGCACATATGCAAAGCTGCAGCCAGAAGGGGGTGACTTTGCTGACGTATTTAATCATAAGGCAGTCTTGGAGACAGAGCTTAGGCAGCATGCATCGTTGACAGAAGGTGACTTGCTCACAGTCCACCATGGGGGGGTTGATTATGGTTTGCGAGTTCTGGAACTCAAACCTCGGACCAATGTTTCTGTACTGGAAACAGATCTGGAGGTTGATGTAGTAGGACCTGGTGAAACAACATCAAGTCCTCAGAGCAGATTGTCCCCTCTCACTTTGGGTAAGGCGGAGTCTGGGCTGGTAGAGGAAGGTAAATACACCTACTACCGCTTCACCATCGATCCGCAAACCGAGAAAGGTATAGAGGCAAGAACCTTGGATATCTTGGTGCATTTAGAAGTTGAGACCAAGGGAGGTAGTGACGCTGATGCGGACCTGTATGTCGCTGCGCATCCTCTCCTTTACCCAACCAAACATCAACATCAATGGTCATCCCATGACGTGGGGTCGAAGGTTATATGCATGACTGCCTCACCGAGTACAGGAGAGTCTACAAAGGTAGTGGGTGCTGGTGGATATAGTATTGGCGTTTTTGGCTTTCAAGGAAACACGAGGTTCAGGTTGTGGGTTGAAGCGAGAGCTGCTGAAGCTAGGGTCAGCCATGGACAGAGGTTGGGTGCAAATGCAGGAGACAAAGAGGCTTCTAGTAGCGCATCTCAGCTTACGCAATCTGATGATGGATTTAGCCTTTGTCAGAACTGTAAGCAGTTGGTACCTGGAAGGACTCTCATGCTTCATGAAGCTTACTGTAGGTAAGCTTATTCACTGTAATCGACCACCTTTTCGTTCGTTTTTTTCTTTGAATGCGTGCAATCTTTATTTCTTTTCGAATAATTTTGGCAAGGTGATCTTCAATCTACGTCGTCATTTTTTCCTGTTGCTTTATTTATGCCGCTTAGTTGGTTGTCCGCGTCCAAGTAATTTTGAACAGCAACTCGTCAAGTCCACTCAAGTTACTAAGTTCACATGCAAGTCTCTGGATCAATATGCTAATCATATGTTACTTCTATCAATTTTTTGTGTGGTGCAGACGTCATAATTTTGCGTGTCAACATCCAGGCTGCGGCGTGGTGTTACGCAAAGGAGACAAGGACAAGCACGTACATTGCTCGAAGTGTGGGCTAGGATTGACTTCAGAGGAATTGGCCAAGCATATGAAAGTCTTTCATGAGCGTCTCAAGTGTGAATGCGGAGTAGAGCTTGAGATGGAAGCTATGGTAAGATTTTGAACTGTTCAGCTCCGTTTGTGCGCAATATTTTCAAACACCTACCGAGTTAATATTAGGTTGTGCCATACAAGTGATTCGAATTGTTCTCTTTGTATCTTTACCGCCTGTTCTTCTGAGACTGTGGGTTTTTAGTTTCCTCAATGTCCTCTCATGGTCTCTATATTCTTGGATACATTTAGATTCTCACCCATTTGTGGAAGAAATAACTGCAGCTAACATTTACGTCTCATTTTGCACTCGTAGGTTGAGCATCGTGCTTCTTCTTGTCCGAAGCGACTAGTGAGCTGCCGTTTCTGTGGAGATATGGTTCAAGCTGGTGCTCCCGCTGACAATGTCCGTGACAGACTGAGAGATCTCACCCAACATGAAAGTGAATGCGGTGCCCGAACGGCAGACTGTGATGCGTGTGGGCGCGCTATTATGTTGAAAGAGATGGACATTCACATAGCTGCAGCCCACAGTGGAGGTCAGTCTATGCACAGAGGTGATTCTTTGTTTACGGGGTCTGCAACGCCTGCAGCAACTTTGCCTGCAAATGAACCACTGGGGGCTCGATCTGGTGCTGTTACGAATCAGCCAGGAGCAAACAGGGTGACAGACAGTTCCATCAGCATCCAAGTTGAGTGCCCCATTTGTTCAACCAAATTCGGAGGAGCTGATCGCGAGCAACAACTCAATTCGCATTTGGATGACGAACACTTCAAAACGCAGCTTCCAACTCCGATGGATCTTGATGGTTTGTTTTCTCCTGCACCAACCACGTCTGTGCCAGAGAATTCACTCCGAAGTCTGACCGTATCGTGCCCGATTTGTGGCATGGCTGTGCACAGTGAGAGAGATCTCAGCCAGCACATTGACTTGGTCCATTAGGAGTCAATGACCGCACAGTAGTCTTTATCAAGCAATGCAGTAAATAGTGAGGTGTTAGGTGAGCAGTACACATTGTTTCCTTAGTCCACTAAGACTAACAAGCTTCAATTGACGAAATGTTCAATGTTCATAATATTTTTTGTACATGAAACTTTGTTGTCTGCCTTCTTCTAAAGTTCGTCGAAGGCCTCAATTTGTTACGTACACGTGCAATTGATTATTTCAATCACTTTTTTATGTCATGGTCCAAGAAGTTCTCGCTTACATGCATCATTTGAAGCTTGCATAGATTTTGTGCTGCAATTGTAGAGCTCTTTACAGCCAAAATCTTGATTTCCAAAGTTGAAGCTGGTGCAGACCAGTAATCCATCATGAAGCTGTGAGAAATGGAGATCATGTTGGCACGCTCATACTGTTAACTTGATGTGGGCTTCAAAAAGAAATCCGCACAAAATGGAACCATTTAAATTTTTGCCAACTTCAATCAGCAATTGTTGGTGAATCAATCATCACAAATTATCTGGTAAAATCATGAGCAGAATTAGAGTAGGCCAGTGGAGTCCACCACAACTATACCCAACAGAAGGTAAATCAGAACTACCATCTTGAGAGACTGAGTGGTTGGGCTACAATCAAGGATAACTATTTCAGCATCAATCAGGCTACATTGTGTTACAAATATGGTGTAGGAAGTTAAGTACAAGGTATATTGTGCAAAAGATTTAGTGAGGATATTCATTTATTTAGCCACTCATTGTGCACACATTAGGCACAAATAACACAGTTCTGATTGAGGAAAAGAACTCCAAAGATGTAAAATTGTGGGATTGATTTGATAAGAGTAAAGGTGGGTTGATTTGATATTCCTCTAAATAAATGAAGAAGAATACACCTTGCAATATAACAAAAGTATTGTCTGAAAGAATCATGTAAAATACCTTATCTAATGGTAGTTTTGATAGTGCATATGAAGAAGGTATATATATATATATATATATATATATATATTAGATTTTATTCTATGCAACTTGAATTTTGTAAACATGTTAATAGATATTGATAAAATTGTTGAAAACTTAATATATTTAATAAGTGTACTTTTGTAACTTGAACTTTGTCTATCTTTTGTTTTTGAATCACAATTATTTTAAGGCACAAATTTTCAAAGATGATTTTGTTTTCTTATAATATTTGATAGTTTTTAATTAATCTAATATAAACAAAAATTTCTACAGTATATAACTAAACACTTTACAATATGTTTTCTATGCCAATTATATAACAAAGTAAAGTTAGAAAATATATATTTTTTTTAGAAGAAAAAAATAATTACATTTTCCTGAGATTTTTGAAGCATCTGTTTTACAATGTTTTTAGATTTCTTCCACTTTTATTGTGTAACTATGATATTAGCACATAAAAATTAAACTCCACAATATCTATTATAAAAATTCCAACCCATGAAATAGTCCACAATGACGATAAACGATAAAAATAAAAATAAGTAAATTCAAACCATGTGGTAGAACTAGGAAACTTTGCAGAAACGAACTCCGCGGCGAGTGTCGGTAGCGACGGGGCTTGTCGCAGTGGATCGATGAAGCTGCGCTTTCACGGCGAATTTCGGAACGTGAACCACCGATTGTCACTGCAAAGCACAGCAAAGCGCAATAGAAAAAAAGAAAACTCATGTGGGGCTGCCGTTTGGCCGATGCAGAAGCCTCATTGCACGAAACTTACGTCGAATTTTTTTTCCAGTTTGCTCATTTGTCTAGTCACTGGCACAGCTTCTTTCGAAGTATGTGCTTTATGGACACTTTCCTCATCACCATGAGCCCCTCAATCCCTTCGAATCATCCCATTTCAGAAAGAGATCCCGACCTAGCGGCCTGTCAAACCTCAGTTGGGTTTTTGATTTGCACTTCTGCTGATATTTTTTTGCAGAATGCCGAGTTTCTGGGCGTTGGATGAGTTCCTTGCGGTGGTGGGGTTGTGAGCCTTGAGATTCGTGGCTGTCTCTGCACCAAGCGAATTTGCCTTACGCCGGTGGTTTTGCTTCAGGGTGTTCGGTTTGTTAGCTTGTGAATTGGGTTGTTGGAATTGGGTCGAACGAGATTGGGGTTGAGTTTGGGTGCGATGATGAGAACTAGCGAGATAAAGAATGCGTTCGCGGGGAACCCTATAGTGGGTGGGAAGCGGGAAGTGGAGGATTTGGAGCAATTGCTGCGGTCTCCTGAAGCCTATTCGAAGGTGAAAGTGCTGCCTCTGTGCGATGGCAAGCCTTTGGTTGCAGCCCAGCGCGAGGGCTTAGTGTCTTGGCAATTGGCGTGGCAACCTCTCGTTACCATCCGCCACGCTAGCTCCACCGAGGAGCTGCACAGTCTTTTGGTGTATCTTGGAGATGCTGATGGGTTCTCGTACTTTGCCATCAGCGTGCCAGCGAAGGACGCTGGCGATAGGCAGGAGCTCAAGACCATGGCGGACGACTTTGGGCAGCCGGGGGTTATATTCTACGATTTGCGGTCTCTCATGCAGGCTGTAGATTGCGTAAGCCCCGACGTCATGGGCGATCTCTCCATAGCTGGCCATGTGCGTGTTTCCTCATCTGTCAGCCCCCCTCCTTGCATTCGGATTTAGATTCTATTACAACCGAAATTCTTGACACTCTAGGTCTTAAATTCGGGCAGGTAGATATTTTTGAGTTGGGTCTCGTGCATGGAGATTCCCGTACGTCCATGTCGTGCGTACCAGGCTAATCGGCTCCTACATTGAGATATACTGGGACTTTCTCTTGTGGCACCGCGATGGAAGGGCGTTAGTGAAGATGGAATTGGTGATGACTTGGTGATGACTTGAAAATGCAGGCGAGGGCAATGATGGAGTGGCACAAGCAAGCTTTGTATTGTGGACGCTGTGGCACTAGCTCTCGACCCATCTCGTGTGGGCAGAGGAGGCAGTGCACTAATGCTAAGTGCAATAGCAAATTGTACCCAAGAATAGATCCCGTAAGTCTTCACTTGCTCCATTGAGGTCGAACATTGACGGCATTATGTGCATACGTTTGAATTCCTAGCTCATGAGACGAATCAACACTTGTTGATAGTATTAACTCAAAGTATTAGTCACCCTTGAATTGCAAAGAAGGGCAAGGATACCAGATCAAGGCCATTCGGAAAGACGCCATTCTACCATTTCCCTCAGTTTTTAAAGTTGATGGGAAAGAATACATTAACACGGAACTGTTTCGTGGGTATTCCTTGTGCTCGCTTGTGGGATGATTAATGCCTTGATATCGGTTGGACTAAACAAGCTCTGCGGGGAGTGGATGATTGTGTAGGTCGTTATAATGCTGGTGATTGACAAGGAGCGTGACTGTGCAATTCTAGGTCGACAGTCCCGCTTTGTCCCGCGCATGTGGAGCTGTTTAGCGGGCTTCATTGAGGTGAAACCTCTCTCCCGTTCGTTCCCATACCATGTGGAGGTTGAACAAATTTGTTCACAGTCAATTGATTGCATGAAGACTGCTCGTGTCTGGTTTGAATAATTTTATCCTTCCTGCAGCCCGGCGAAAGTTTAGAGGAGGCTGTCCGAAGAGAAACTCGGGAGGAAGTAGGTCTTGAAGTTGAAGAAATAGTTTATCATAATTCACAGCCATGGCCAGGTGTGCTCTCTTTCTTGTCATCTCTTATTTCTCTGTTTTTCGTTGAACATTGTGTTCATTGCCCACTAGGCTCTTTTTTTTGTCTCTCTCTCTCTCTCTCTCTCTCTCTTTTTTTTTTTTTTTTTTTTTTTTTCTTTTTCTTTCAATGGATTCAATCGTCTTTCAAATCAGGCACGAAAGATAATGACTGCTATTTGTTTTCTGACCTGCAGTGGGACCTAGCTCGATGTCATGTCAGCTAATGGTTGGATTCTTTGCTTACGCCAAAACTTTTGACATTCGGGTAGACAAGAAGGAGCTCGAAGGTAATGACTGAACCCTTAACACTTTGATAACTAGTTATTGTTAAAAAAATTAGTCAAATGGATATGAACTAGAGCTTTCGTTTCCAACTAGTGGTGATTGAGGTTATTGATCGGTCCTTGTGACTCAAAATCTCACTGTTTGCGGCTTGGTCAGACGCCCAATGGCATCGACGTGAAGACGTTAGGAACATGTTACGGACTTCGAGATACAAAAGCGATCAGCTGGAGGCGGCTTCGAAGATCCAGAAGGCAGCTAGCGGTGACAGCGCATTCACCAAACAACCACCGTCGAAATCTCCGTCGGATGTAAGGAGGCCCTCTACCGACACGAGCAGTGTGCCTTTTGTGCCCGGGCCTTACGCCATTGCACACCACTTGATCTCCACCTGGGCTAACCAAGATCCTGTTGTGGGCCTCTCCAACTACTGATCTCTAATCCACCCGAAACTTGCTACGCCCAGTTAAGCATTTCGAAGCATGCATAACCACTTTAGGGTCCAGTTCTGCCTTAAAATCTGTGATTCTTTTTCGAATTGTCTCTACTCAATGGAAAGCGCTTTGTCTATATTCTACACGTTGGTGCACTCTCCATCTTCTCATCTTGTCCATTTGAGTTTTATAGATCTCTCAATAGCATGAAGCAGTGGATAGATCTGGCGGCGTTGCTCTCAAATTGATGGCAATTCCCCATTCAACCTCGCGTTGTGGCTTCATTAGAATCGTCCTCTTTGCCAACCTCTTGAAACCTTCAAACCTGCGATGTGTGAACAAGAGCTTGAATGTTATTATGAATGTTGTTGGTAATAGGTGGAAATGGTAGGACAAGAATAGTTTTATTATTGGGATTTGTTTAGAATGAGTTATTCCGTTGTGAACATGAAGAATATCTTTCTGAGTTGAATTGTGTATCTCCGATCTATGTTTATCAGCTTCCTGAATTTTAAAATTGGCTCTACAATTTGATTTTTAGCTTTTGTTTGCGTCAATAAGCTGTTAATCCACTCATGCATGATTACAGAACTTCAAATCTGATGATTGGTTTTATTTGTTGTGATTGGAAGGAAATTGTATTGTTGCCAACTTACATGTGTGTATGTGTGTGTATTTTTATATATATATATATATATATATATATATGCTAGTGAGTACATTTGTTTAACAACATTGATTTTTCAAGTTTGACATTGGTCTTAGAAAATCAGAAGCCTAGAAATACTGAACTAAGTTGTGTTTTTAATGTGTACTCATGTCGGTTTTCAATTGACTTTTATCCTGTCATTGAAGAAATAGAGTAGTGGTTGGAGAAGCTAAGTATTTTTAATATTGAACATTTAAATATCCATTCAATGAAAATTGTTGACAATGTATATATTAGTCTCAAATGAAGATGAAGAAACTGTATTGATAATGAAAATAACAACAAATGAGGCACCAGATAAAGTTTGAAACATAAATGCTTTTGTTGAGTAATACTGTAATAAAACGTGGACACCATTGGAAATTAAAACTTGTTTAGTAGAATATTAATGATAATGGTGAGATGGAAAAAAAAACATTTTCTATTACTGTAATAAATATGGTAGAAATGCAGTGGACATGCATATTATTAGCTAGATTGGCAGTTTACCTCCCATAGATCCATTAAATTTTGTAAATAATATTACAAAGGAACCAAGTATATTAATGATTCCAATTATTCATTCTTTCTTCCTCCAACTTATCCCTTATCACAACCTTGTCAAAAAAGGCCATGGAAAAGACCATTTTCAAAGTAACTGAAATATGATAGTGTATTCAAACTTGCAGACAAAGAAAAACGTCCTCCAAAATGAGGATTCAACAGTGACAACCTATCAAGATAAAGAGAAAAATTTTAAAATGTTAAATAAATAAATCAGTAATGCGACATATTGTACTTGAAAAAATACAAATATAAAGATATGAACAAATTTCATGATAATACTACAGGAAGGAAAGGAACAAATAAAGTAGAAAAACAACGGTAACAACAATCACACAATGGAAAGTAACACAGAAGTTACATGATGAGATTTCTGTAAAAATCATCGATTTCGATACAATGCAACAAACGGTTTCATGCGAAGCAGAATGCAACATCGTGAGGGGAAGTTGAAATCTTGCTCACATGGTGTTCAAACAGGTCGCATCCACGTCGTTAAAGCGTCCGCAAAAAACTGAATTGATGGGCGGGGGGGCGTTACAGCGAATGCTGCAGGGAGACGGGAGTAGTGGATTGGTAGCAGAAGCCCCGATTATTATTATTATTATTATTATTTTGTTTTACTCCGCGACTCGGTCATAAAGCTAAGCGCTCACACACACACTAACTGAACCCTTTCTCAAAAGCGGGGTGGGTGTGACAGCCATGCGCATCGACTGTTGCGCCCTCTCGCCACCCTTTGCACAAATTTGCACCGCACTCGAGACATCCCAGTTCGTCGCCGCCCTCCCTCACTTCCTTTTTCCCTCAGAGCTCTGCCAAAGGGTCGAATTGCGGCGATTGCAGTAGTGGATGCGAGGCGGCATCGTGCGACGACAAGTACCCGCAAGATCGACCGATCGATCTGTTGTCGAGATTGTGGGTCTCGGCGATTACTCATGAGGCTGTGTCGGTGGCGTGTCGGCCGACTACGGGGGCTTGATCTGCATTTGGACACTCTGTCGGTGGTCTATAGCGATCTTTGTTTTCTTTTGATGTTGTTGTTGTTTCACATTCTGGTGTTATTTGTTGACATCGATTGTGAAAATTAATACTTTGAAAACTTAGTGAAACTGCGAGGTTTTTTTAAACTATGGAAATTGTTTTTGTGTTATACTCTTTTCTTTCTTATTTCTTTTTGTGGTTGTGTATTTTTTTCTTTTCAAAATAAATTTATTTTCTTAGATCTCATTTTAATAACACCAAAAATACATTTATACTCATGAACTAACAAATCGATATTTGTTTCTCAACTTCCCAATATCTTGCTAACATATTGCTTTTGCAATTTGGGATATTGTTCTTTGTTTGAATTTAAAAGAAAAATTCACACTAATTTTCTATAAAAAATAAGATTTTATTATATGTTTGTATACATGTAATTTTTTAAAATAAGATAATTGTAAAATACTTATCTAAAATCAATCATTTAAGCATTTTTTGTGCTGATGAATATGACTATAGCATTTCACTAGCAATTACAAATCATACTTTAAACACACTTTGGAGTTACACTTGGTTTTCAAAAACGAGAAGCATCATGTAAACATTTTAAAAATCACCAGGCTAATCATCATTTTTTGAAAGATGACTCAACCATATTAAAAGACATGCAATATAAACAAGCATGAAATGTATTTTCTATTTTGTATTCTTTGTCAAAATATTATATACAATGAAAAATACATCATTAAAGATAACTGGTAGTTTGAACAAAGATCAACAACTGAATTAGAACTTATTTTCTCGCCAGGAATTCTGTTGCATTGAATCATCTAATGTTGTTCTTTCATCTAAGATAACAAATATTGTAGTGTAATTTGAATCTTCATTAATTTTTTATGCCAAAATCCAACAATTCTTGACAATTCTATATATATATATATATATATATATATATATTTGTGTGTGTAAACCATGGATCAAATATTTGTTCTCTGAAACTAATTTCAAACGATTTTTTTAACTAGTTATACTGGTTATAAATTAAAATAATATGTTTAAAAAATAGCAATTTCAAAATCAATTGCAACTTTTGAGACTCTTACTATGTTTGTATTAAAATTTTAATCATTTTCACACCTCATTAACACACGGACATGCTATTGACATGTAAATTTAGCATCCAAATAATATTGCAATTATGTTACAATAGTACCACTAAGTTTTTGACCTAATTACAATTAATAATGTCACCACCCTCATCTCACAATCTACTATAAATTTCATTGCTCTACCAGTTAACCTCAACATCACCTACAATGTGCAAGCATTTTATAAGTTTTTAATCATATGATTATTACTTTTTATTGTTTGAAAAAGAAAAAGAAAAAGAAAAAAATGAACAAATGAACAAATCAATGTATTCTTACTATCAAATCCCTGGTCATTTTGGCATAATATTCCCTTATGTTTCATTCCTACCCTTCAATTCTTGCATCATCTTAATTTAAGCAATTTTTTAATCCACTGTAAGGCTTTGTGATTAAAAGCATAAAAATTACAAAATATTTACGTCATATATTTTTTACAACAAATATGAAGTTATTTTATTATTTTTACTTTTTTGTATAATGAAATTTGAAAACAAATGCAACTAAAGATCAATCTAATAAATTAATTTTTAGTGAATAAATCTAATATATGTATTCATGTATGTGTATATACGCAAAGAATCATTTGTTGGTAAGAGTGTTCTTTGATAGTTAAGAAAGAATCTCATATATAATACATCTATTATTCATGTTGTAAATATTTTCAACTTGCTATCATTAAAGATTATGATGAAGTGAATTTCTTCTTTTTATTAATTTGTAAATAAAATACAAATTCACTCTTTTCATAACACAATTATTTTGAAAAGCTATTTCAAAACTATCATGTCTGGATATATATATATATATATATATATAGTCTAAGATTTTATACATACATACTTGATGAAGTATTAACAGTGAAGCCAACAACAAAAAAACAAACATAAAAATAAAAATAAAAATATCAAAATGTTATTGTCCACACACAACTTGGAAACATGAAATAAAGCAAGTGCTTAGAAGAACTTACAATTCCATTTCCAAAAGCAAAACAAATTTCAACTTAATTCAATGATTTTTTTTTTTTTTTTTTTTTTTTTTTTTTTTTTCATTAAGAATAACAACAATATGAAAACTCTTCTCTACAACAAGACATCAAGCTTTTGAAATGGGAATAAAGAAATTCTTCATGCAAAAAGGATACAATGAATGAATGAATTCACCTTTTTCTCAAAGTCTCAAAAATCATGCTCAACCCTAAACCCATCTCCTAAAAACGCTAACGTTACCAACTTAAACACTCTTAGAAAAAAAACACACAATTCCCCCTGAAAAAGCATTTAAATAATGGAAAAGAAAAAACCAAAATCAAAACCAAAACAAATACAAACCCACCATTTGATGACTCAAGGACCCGTCCGAAAGGCACGAGTGGAACCGACGTGGCAAGCGGGAAAGGAGCTGAGGTGGCACGGCGGACCGCGGCGTGAAGGGCGCTGCAGCAAAGCCTGGGCGACGCAGTCCGAGGAGGAGGACGCAAGAGGACGAGGCAAAAGCGAGACGGGAAGAATCTGAGCCAGAGAGCTCGATTCTCGTATAGCAGCGATGCATTTGCAATGCAATGCAATGCGATTGCCTATCTCCAGTTGCTGCATCCACGGCATCGCCTACACCATAATATCATGCATGATCTGCACACCACCACCGCAGTGGGGCCGGGATGAGTGAGTCCCTTCCTCAACCCCCTCCTCTGTGTGAGTCGGTGGTAATTCCCACCCGATTTGATACCCCTGGTGGTGGGGATCCGCGGTAGCTGTCTGGCCCCAGAGGATATGGTGCCAGGGTGTTGATGTTGCAGCGATGGTAATACAAGACCTCGAGAGATTGAGGGAGAGAGCGAGTGAGAGCGAGAGAGAGAGAGAGAGAGAGTGATAGAGCGCGGGCGCTCAAGCACGAGGGGTGTTTGAATCAGGTTAAGATCTTGGTATGTTATGCGCGGGTCAATTGCATCGGCAGTGTGTGTGTGTGTGTGAGAGAGAGAGAGAGAGAGAGAGAGTGTGTGTTGCGCTTTATTGGGGTCTTGATTGAGGGACACGAAGTGATTGTAGCAAGGTGGTTGTAATGTAACTTTGAGTTTTGTTGGTTTTTTTGGGTGTTTTTCTTTTTTTGCTTTTTTTTTCTTGCTCTGTAGTGGTGGATTTTTTTCGTATTTGTTCTTTATGGGCACACGTGGAAGTGGAGGTGAGTGGAAATGTGAAGAGGCAGTGTGTTGTGGTGATCTTGGGTGTATGTTCGAGGGATGGGTGCTTATTTTGGTTATGCATGTGATTGCATTTTCTTGGGATCTTCAAGTGAATGCGTGATGCTGTGAGTGGTTGTTGGTGCTCCGAGGTTGGGATGAAATGAGGTGAGGTGTAGAGCAAGAAAGAGGTTCTGCAGCGAGTTGGGAAGGGAACGTTTGCCTCTACCTGGAGTTCGGTGTTGGTGTTGGTCGTGGGTCGAGCGGTTGGAGTGTTGCAGTTTGAGGTTCTGATAGAACGTGTGCATTGTATGTCTATTTTCTCATGCTCGCCCACTATGATGCAGTTGAATTCCTCGTCAGTTGAATCTTCATGTCCCTGTGGATAAGAGCTTCTTGAATTTGTTACTTAGCTCGCGAATGCTGTTTCCGGGATATTTGATGAATTTGTTTTTAATATACCAAGTAGTGCTGGTGATCCCGAGGAGTGGGGCACCAGCGGCTGGCTTTGTTGACTCGTGTTTCGTAGCCCTACAACTTTGTCTTCGCTCTTGTTTCTTTGTTTAGTCTTTCTTCTGTGGTTGCCTCTCTCTCCTTCTGATCTTCATCTCTCCTTGGAGTTGCTGCTGCTGCATGTTCACAAGAACCATCTTCGAGATTATGGCAACGCAATCAGGAGGCAAAAGGATATGATCGTAAGTAGGTTTGGACGGGACAATGCCAGTCCAAATGAAGCAACTTGATTAATATTTTGTATCTTCTCAACATCGGCTTCACTTCTTCTTCTTCTTTTCTAGTTGCTCAACCCTTGATCCTCCCCAAGCTTGACCTGTAGATGTGGCGGGTGGTTTCTCACAAGCCTTAGTATCTATCAGCACTTATACTCGTCCGTTCCGATTTAGAATTGTTCTTTCTTTATTACTTAGTCTCAACATCAATGCTTGTTCCGCACTTATAGCACACTGCGCAGTTCCGGCTGTTATTTAAGAGAAGTCTCAATTCTGTCATCCTACGTAGTTTCGTTTACGTCTTATCGTTCCAGGGTTTTCCCCTATTGCAATCTGAGGTTGGGGCTCAAATTGGTCATTGAGGCATACACCTGCTTTTACACAGCCCTGTCAGTCACATAGGTTTTTGAACTGGTGCTGGTGAATTGCAGCTTACTAGTAATCCTTTCTAGCTCTCCCTCTCTCTCACGCAACATCTCTTTTGAATCTGTACTTCCTCGCATTCATAGAGCTGCTTTTGAGCAGGCGTCATGTTCTACTTTTCAGCAGCGTAGTCCTCTGGTAATGACCATTCCTGGTTTTCTGGTTTATAGTGAGAACCTGTCTCCCACACTTCCAGGCCCCTGAGCCTCTCGTGACGCGACTTCTTCGTTACTATGACGATGCCAGTGTTTAGAAGGGTCATTGACAACTTTCACACACTACACAACATCGCCATTTCGTCATGTATGGTCGCTGTCAAACTATCTGGTTGTTGCTCTCAGCTACAGGCAGGCAATTTCCGTGCATTGGTCCTTGGGTTGTCTGTAACTTTAACCGACTCTTTATTGACACACAGCTTCGTCCACATGCAGTTTGCAGGTCACACTTGCAGCAGCAGTATTGTTCAATGAGCACGAGAGAACTAGCTTCCAACAAGGAGCCATTGATTGCAACAAATAGACCTGACGCAATGTGCGCACCGCACATGCTCTAGAGGATCGCTAGATCTTTACATTATCCTTCGCATACAGGCCCTTTATAAATGATTTGCGGTCCAGAAACTCAAGTCTGCTGTTAAGTTTGGCTAAATTTGGTTAAGTTCTTGGGTATGGTTGCTTCCATGCCAGTACCCCTGCACCCAATACATTAGCCAGGGCAGAGCAAAGTTTTTTGGAAAAAGATCGACACATTATCTTTCTTCTAAATCTAGAAATTCAGAAAGATGGACATGCATGCGATTCTGAAGCTTAGCGTTTCTCCAAGGGGGCGTAAGAACGTTGCACACGGCTACCTTGAGGATGCTGAAGAGTTTTTCCTACAAACTCCCGACAGGAATGCCAAACGAGCATTTGCGAGGGAAGTGGAGGAAGCTTCTCTGGGAGAGGTCCGAGCTGCGGTGCCCTTCGTTTGGGAGTTGGTTCCTGGAACACCGAAGGGCGACCTCGACAGCGTTATCGTGGATGTAGGTCGTGAATCCTCTAATGAAACGGAAGAGACCCGATCACAGGACCAAGCTTCACCAGGAAGCTCGGAAGGGTCTGAGGCGATGGAGAATTTTGGTCAAGATTCTTCAATGAAAGAGTTCGAATTTAGTAGCAGGTTTGAAGCGTTTGTGGAACCTCTCCCGTGGCACGGAGCTTGTGCTCCTTACATTTCCACAGCTGAAGAGCTGTGTTCTGGTGGCCAGGTCTCACCCTTACCTCTCCCTCCCCGATTGCAGACAGCGAAACATACTGAAAACTCGGACTCTGCTAGCCCTGTTCGATCTGGCGGTGGCTTCTTCAAAAGCTACCACTACCCACACTCTCCCCGATCGCCCCGGTCGCTGTTACTGTGTCGGCTAACCAAGACTCTGAACGGGGAGATGTCTGTCCTAGGGATCCAGGAACGGAAGCCGACTTCCAGGTCCTTTTCGCCGCTGCGATTGTTCAACCAAGAAAATCCAGCTGCTGACAGTAGTATTTCCTCGAAGGCTTTTTCCTCCAGCGAATCTGCTTCTTCTGTGTCATCCTCCTCTGCTTCGACCTGGGGAGGGGAGACAAATGCTGATTTACCTCAGTCGTTGTGGGAGCAAAACCAGAGTAGCACGCTCAAAGATCTCCTGTTCACCGACATGGCTATAGCATCAGCAGGAATAGGGAATTCGAAGTTATCGAGCAGTAAGTCTCGAATAGTGGAGTCTAAGAGCGAGTTGTTGAAGAAGGACATGGCTCGACGGAATCAACGTGCTGATGCGTCAGAAGTAGAATCCGGACGTAGAGGGGAGCCAGCCCTTACTCCGCAGCTTTCTCGTTCTAACGCAAGATCAAGGTCTGTTCCGACTCCAGCTCTCATTCCTTCATGTTCAATTGGTGCTACATTGGACTTTCTTCTGTTTCTTCGAATCAGCTGACAGTTTTCGCATTGGATTGGTGTGGAGACATCTGCTGTTCTATCGGTTCGTCACATTATCGTTTGTTTGAGCATGGCTCTGTGGACGAACATGCTTCGTTTGAATTTCCATTCAGCCTTCAGATGTTACCTCCGCACATACCAAACATACTGTCTCACCTAATTTCCTCTTAGATATTGGAAGAATCCAGAAATTTTCATTTCACGTTCTCCTGCTTTTCGTCACTGTGTCCTCTTGCAACGTCAGTACATTGATAAAAAAATAACTGAATTAGATGCACGAGCTTCATGGGAATTGAAGGGAATGGCTTGATGCATTGCAGGGCACCTAAAATTCAGGTTCTAGAAGTGAAGTCCTTGAGAGAGGAGAACGTGAGCACGGCCCTGTGTGCCAACAGGTTTGGAATACTATGCAACTGTCTGGGAGTGCTCCCAAAAAGTCCTTAAGAACCCCAACCCACTTAACATCGCCATGAAATAGATGCCTCAGTACTGCCACACATTTTCCCACTACAAACTATGGAGGCCGTTGCTAGGGCAACACTCGAGGAGATCGAAGGGAGAAAGTAGTCAGGTTTAGTGGCAATGCTGAAATTCCAAATTAAGGGCAGCAACGGCATGTATACTTATGTTACTAAAGAAATGTGGTATTATGTGAGGAATAGATTTATAAGGCACATGTGATACTTGCTTTGCTTGTAAACCTGTACAAAGGTCAATTGCGGGTATCAGGAAATGATAAAATTTTGCTACGTCAGGTTTAGCCTGACATTCTTGGGGTTTTTTTTTTTTTTTTTTTTTTTTTGTTAATTTTTCAAAAGCAATTTTCCTAAACCCAAGGTTTTGAAGAGAAGCAACCTTATCCTGACCAGAAGCCTCTGTGCATGGTACCTAACTACATACATTTGCCAAGTGCTTTTCATGTCTGCTGACGTGGGTTTTTACAAGCCTAGGCATCTTGTATAAAGCTGCACAGAGAACTGAAATCTTATTTCAAGCACATCTAGAACGAAGGTCTTGTGGTTGGACAAAACGTGAAAGATTGCACACAAACAGCTGTCCCCATAATTATTTTTCAATAACAGGCCTGTCTAGCACTTATGGTGAAGTAGACCTTGGGATGTTTCATCCAAGTGTGACAAGGAAATTATTTTCTTGTGACAAGCTCCGTTGAGCATACATGAAAATTCTCACGTTGTTACCAATGTGAAGTGTCACAGCATTTATGCTCAGATCCTGCCTATTGTTACACTTATAAACGTTCTAGTACATGTATTGTGAAAATTTGAACCTCCCCATAAGTTAGAGGTTATAATATATCGGAACTCCTCCCTCCTCCCTTTTCCCCCCATTTTATCGGTCTCTTTAGACGTAAATTACATGTAGTAAATAAATTTTGTGTCCAAAAAGGGAGAAAATTTAGTTAATATTCACGTCCTATCAATTTCATCAAAAATTCAACATCATCATTTCGGGAGAAACTCATCATTGTTTGCCGATTTCAAAATGATGACGCTTGATATATACACACACCTACATACATATATATGTATATATATATATATATATATGAATAAAATGGATTGAAGTTAAATTTGTCGAATTCAAGTTGTTCCTGCCTCTTGTTGCCTAGTGGAACTCCCGAAGTCCCGACGTAGAGTCGCTTCATTTGTATGACCCCTTGGTGGGCCTCGAAAGAGCCAAAACTTTTGACAAAGTCTCAGTTGGCTGTACTTGCATGTGCTTCAAAATAATTTCTACGTGGGTCCAATCCACTCACACCACAAACTGCCGTCCAGATACTACCTCAACACCCAAACCTCCAAACTGTCATCATCTTCTCCAAACTTTCAACCCCAACTCATTTATATTAACGTTACCTTCACTAACTTTACCGTGGTTCTCCTCAGGATTCTTACGAGAAGGAGAGTAACAACGCAAATGTGTGCCTCTTCGCTGCAGGAAGCAGGTGCTGCTGCACAAGTGTCGTTTACCACAGGATTTCCATGTCAGAGGTGTTGCTGCAAAGACCTGAGCTGTCGCGCAACCTTGGTCATGAAAGCTAGCATTGGATTGGCATTTCCTTACCTGGACGCTCCTTGACTCCGACATCCTGGTGGCAGAATAGGGATTGTTCTCTGGGATGGTTGTGCTGTCGGGGTCCCTGCATTGCCTGGTGCGAACAATTCACCCCACGCAGGAATTTCTGGAGAAGAGGAAGATTGATCCGGTACTGTTTGCAGCCCCTCAGAATGCACAAACTATGTGAAGGTGGTACAACCAAAACTGAGACGTCAGACTGATCAGAGCCTCCTAGCCATAGACCAAATAGCATGATTGCTTGTGACATGTTCAACCTGTTCTCTCACAGACCTCCGTTTTGGAAAGAATGAAACAAAAAAACAAAAACATGAAGTGATTCAGAAAGAGAATTTCTGGATGAATAGTTAGAAACTATCCTCTGCGCGTCTGTTTGTAAAACTTGACGTTTGGGTTGGTGGCTCCAGAGGTGAAGTATTGCATCAAATCTGATGCGTAAAATCATATCTGAAACAGCCGTTTCTGAGAAAGGGCTTGAAGAACCTCCTGCTTTGAAAATCGGAACGCTGTTGGCCGTGAGAGCAGCTTGTCCATCGGATCCGATCTAGACCTCTTTAAATCACCACATCTAGTATTTAAAATTATTGGTAAATATAGCGTAAACTTCATAAGCCGGTGGTAAGTTTGATCATCACCGACTTGGAAAACCTCCCGAAATCCCCTTGCGAAAGAAACATCTGCACAGCTGAAGGTTGGGCAGGCGGGAGGCTGAAATCTCTCGACAAGCAGGTCTAGAAAGCTAAGAAATATAGGATGATAAGCCTTACAGGTACAATTGTTGTGTTTATTGACGCTCACTTTACTCTTTGAGTATGACACTTAAACCGATCTTCAACTGGTAACACGTGAACATTTTCAAACAAAACTTTAGTGAAGCCAGTGTTTTCTGAAACCGGGTGATGAACCGAGGCAGTAGAATATCAAATTATGCACACACGAAGGTTTCAAAAGTGGCCTAAATGCTACTTTACACATTTGCCAGAGGCATATTAATACGCCGTGGCATATTAAAACGCTAGGTTACGAACAGGTTTCGGGTTATCTAGTCACCTAATATCAGTAGTGCTTGACACTTTCTGAACAGGACGATAAAGATTTGCTGCCTATACTTGATTTCAAACGTAATAGGAGCCTTCACAAGCTACAAACAACTCAATGAACTAGCCTTATTTTGCAGGTATTACTCCACCCACAAGTTAGAACTCAGATGAATGAATGCTTTGCAGCTCTTCCCGAGCATGGCTGGTCTGAATGACCTCCAGAACGGCACTTTGCCTTGCAAGCCATGGACTCCAAGCACAACGCTGCCAATGCATTCATTGTTATTGTGTATGCTGATTGCTGATGATCGACTTGACTATTTGCTTGTAACTTGTGGGCAACAATCGTCGTTCTTATCTAGCATAGAAAAAGCTTTTGCGAAATGTTACATTTCTGTGATCAGGTTCTTGAATGAGTGCTCATCTAAATTTTCATTGCAATGTTCTTTAGTTTCAGTCTGTTTTATTTTTGTCAAGTTGGATATTTCCATTGATTTTGATTAAACTGGATAAATGAGAACTATATCGAGGTGACTATATCCATGCCTTGCAGTAGAACAGCAGATTTTCATGTCATAATGTCATGGATTTTAACACTGTTTAGTGGAATTCTACTACTTACAACTTGTGTATTTAGCTTGTTTTAGGTTTTAGAGTAAACTTCGACTCTAGGGGCAGATTCATTTGGTGATATTTTTATATCAATTGAACTCTACTATTTCATTTCTTCAGACCATTGTGATGTAACTTAACATGCTTGAATCATTTAAGCATCGATTTAAATATATAATTTCAGTTGTTGTGACCCATCACATCAAAAAAATCACATTTCATTTTTATTTCATTTTATTTTTTAAAATTTCTGTACACATGGTCATTCAACCAGCTTTATTAACGTGTGAGAGTTCTAATGATTAACAACTAATACTCATTTACTTATCTAAAAAGTTTTCAAATATATTGCTGAACTTTTTTGATCAAAAAGAGAAAAACTATTTTTTTTACCACTAAGTTGTTACAAAATGTGTTTTGAAATTTAGACTTTACTTCGCAGCTCATCTTGTTTATGAATATTGATCATGAATATTTTTTTATGAATATTGTTTGTCATGCTTAGAAATTTAAACTTAACAGTATGCCTTGCACTTTAAAAATATATATAATTCAAGGAACATCTTGTGTTTTAAGAAACTTCTAAATTTTTTAATTTTATTTATATGAGCTATTTATCAGTATAATACTATTAAAAAAGATTGAATTAAATTTCTACAAGATGAAATACCTTAAATACATAATCAAGGATCATACTCTTCTGCCAAGAAGCACATTATTATACTATTTACTAAATACACAATTAATTATTAGACACTATATATATATATATATATATATATATATGCCTAATATTTCTACAAGTTAAGTATTTAGTTAATTGATATATTTTTAGAATATTTTATTATTATATAAACTATATATTACCTATTTTTTGTATATTCTAAATCTTAATATTAGATCAATGATATACGATAAAATTTCTTTTCTGATGAAAGAATTGAAGCTATTAATTAATAAAATATAGAAAATATCTAACTCAAATAATTTGTAGTTATTAAGTCTTAGCAGTGAATTCAATGCTTTAAGAAAACTTGAATATCATCAAAAGAATATAAACCAAGATTATTTAAAAATTAATGATGTTTTTGCCAATGTACACTCATGGTGAAAGTATCTACTATCATTTCACTTGTAGATAAATACTAGAGCTAGACTTGTCTCAATTGTACAACCTCATAAGTAAAATAATATTGTATTTTTATGGATTTGATTAAAAGATAGAAATTTAGTTTAAGATATAAAGATATTATACTTTGGTTGTCAATATAAATTGGAGTAGATTTCTTTTGAGAAAATCCTAAATCATTTAATAATCTTTGTAACCATAGAGCTTCAATATATTTTAATTTGGTAATAGAAATCTCTACATCTTTCAATTCTATTTTTTTGGATTTGCTACTAGTCTAAGAGATTACTGGAGGACTAAGTATCTTGATTATGGACCGAATTGACATTAGATTAACCGTATAAAAGACGGTCATTTGATGATTTTTTATAAGTAAAACTATAAATTATTATTTTCTTAACATATTGCATAATATTTTTTAATTCCTTCTTATTGGATAATTCTAAGATTAAATAAATATTATAATAAATTATTAACACTAAATGTTATTTTAACTCAATAACATATTAAAGAATAAATTTAAATACCAACTAATTCAAAATAAAGAATTCTTACTATTTGATCTTTTACAAATTAATTAGTTAAACAATCTTTGTGAAATAATTAATGTACCAACTTCAAGAAGTGTAGAAATTCTATTATAAGTATTTTTATAATATCTTTTAAATATAGATTGCTAATTTAATATATTTTAAAATTTAATATAAGAATTTTATTAAATTAATCACAATATAGTTGTAAATAAATAATATAATTTAAAATTTCTTCTTTTTTTTATTTTAAATTATTTACAAAAAAGTCTTTAAAAAAATAATAGATATAGATTTATTACTTAAAATTATATAGTCATCTACATATATGACTATTATAACAAAATGTATGTTGTTAAATTTTATGCAGATATTGG